TTAAGAGTGGTAGAAAGTGGCTTTAGCAGCAGAAACAGATGAAGAAAATGTAGAGAGGAGGGAGTAAAAAGATGCCAGGTCCGCAGGGAGTCTACTTTTCCTCCATTTCCGCTCGGCTGCCCGGAGCCCTGTTCTGTGCGCTCGCAATGAGTCGTCAAGCTACGGAGCAGGAGGGGAGGACCGAGCCGGCCGGGAGGATAGGGGACATAGAGAGTCAAAGGATGCAGAAAGGGAGGAGAGGAGGGTTGAGGAGGCAGAATCAGGAGATTGGAGGGAGAAGGATTGAGCAGAGGGAAGAGATGATAGGATGGAAGAGGAGAGAGTAGCGGGAGAGAGAGAGCGAAGGTTGCGACGGCGCATTACCATCTGAGTAGGGGCAGAGTGAGTAGTGTTGGAGGAGAGCGAGAGAGAAAAGGATACAAAGTAGTGGTCGGAGTTGCAGTGAGATTAGTAGAAGAACAGCATCTAGTAAAGATGAGGTCAAGCGTATGACCTGCCTTGTGAGTAGGGGGGGACGGTGAGAGGGTGAGGTCAAAAGAGAAGAGGAGTGGAAAGAAGGAGGCAGAGAGAAATGAGTCAAAGGTAGGCGTAGGGAGGTTGAAGTCACCCAGAACTGTGAGGGGTGAGCCATCCTCAGGAAAGGAACTTATCAAGGCGTCAAGCTCATTGATGAACTCTCCAATGGAACCTGGAGGGTGATAAATGACAAGGATGTTAAGCTTGAATGGGCTAGTGACTGTGACAGCATTGAATTCAAATGAGGAGATAGACAGATGGGTCAGGGGGAAAAGAGAGAATGTCCACTTGGGAGAGATGAGGATTCCTGTGCCACCACCCCGCTGACCAGATGCTCTCGGGGTATGCGAGAACACATGGTCAGACGAGGAGAGAGCAGTAGGAGTAGCAATGTTTTCAGTGGTAATCCATGTTTCCGTCAGCGCCAAGAAGTCGAGGGACTGGAGGGTAGCATAGGCTGAGATGAACTCTGCCTTGTTGGCTGCAGAACAGCAGTTCCAGAGGCTGCCGGAGACCTGGAACTCCACGTGGGTCGTGCGTGCAGGGACCACCAGGTTAGAGAGGCAGCAGCCACGCGGTGTGAGGCGTTTGTATAGCCTGTGCGGAGAGGAGAGAACAGGGATAGACAGAGGCATAGTTGACAGGCTACAGAAAATGGCTACAATAATGCAAAGGAGATCGGAATGAAATGAACTAAACATCTGGGAAAGCGAGAGAGCGGGGCATCCCTCACTTACGTTTCACTGAAACACCCAAATATAACTCTCCCAACTTCCACCTCAGAAACTATAATTGTTGTAAACTACAGCGGTTCAATGTTTTCTAGGAATAGACTAACTTAGTTTATTCAGCTAGCTAACTTGGTACAGTATTCTTCCGTGAAAACCGTCCAGGGCACCTAGTCATATGACGCCACAGCCAACTAGCGTGCCGGACTCCAACAACACGGTTTAGCACCAATACTCGGCCACAACAAACCACCAGTGTGTCAACACGCCAAGCAGATCATTCGTGTCCATGTCTAATGTTGTGGGTTAGTCCCGACAGCTTGAGCGAGTCCGTCGTCAACTTATTCAGCCAGTTAGTTAGCTAGAATAGTTAGCATACTAGCTAGCCATTGCTTTCTGCCTACGAAGAAACCCGTCCTCCCACGGCACGAACACACAGAGAGAGCCAAGCTAACGTTAACTAGTCACCCATGTCCCGAATTCCCTTGAACGACTCTGGTTACCAGTATGTAAAAACAAAAAACAAATGTAGGTTATAACTACTGTAGGGTCTCCTGAGTGGCGCAGTGGTCTAAGGCATTGCATCGCAGTGCTAGCTGTGCCACTAGAGATCCTGGTTCGAATCCAGGCTCTGTCGTAGCCGGCCGTGACCGGGAGACCCATGGGGCGGCGCGCAATTGGCCCAGCGTCGTCCAGGGTAGGGGAGGGAATGGCTGGCAGGGATGTAGCTCAGTTGATAGAGCATGGTGTTTGCAACGCCAGGGTTGTGGGTTCGATTCCCACAGGGGGTATGAAAAAAAATAAAAAATAATGTACGTCTGGATAAGAGCGTCTGCTAAATGACGTAAATGTAAATAACTTACCCCTAGCAGCTACTGTTAGCTAGCCAAGTGCAAAGCTAGCCACTGAATTGACTCAGCCAGTTCGCGTCTGTTCGGTAGGTCGTTCCAGCTATTGTTTAGTAGCTATCCAGGTAGCAACAAGCTAGCTACATTTCGAGCACAGTAGCTACTTACTACCTAACGTTAACGCTTCAGACGAGGTTAGAAATGAGGTTAGAAAAACAGCTGAATGGTAGGCATTATTGTATGTAATTATTGTAGGCAGCTAGCTGGCGTAATTACAGGTACTCTTAGGCGTGAAACAACTATCCACAGTTGCTAATAGTTACCAGTAGCTACCCGCTAGCTAGTCCAGGTAGTGGGTTAGCTAGCTTCGTGCTTCACCGGGCTCAGCCGAATACAATACCTACAATAATTACATACAACAACCCACGATAACTACCTACAATACCTAACTACAATCTAAATACATAGTTTAAGCTTTACTCGACAAAGCTTAAACTATGTATATAAGCCATATAAGCCAAGCTTACCTCCCGCCAGAAAGAGACACAACCTCACCCGACGACAACCCGGTGTCCTCCATTTGCTATTTAAGTGCATAGATGACATGTATTTTTTTCCCCCTGCCCCTGTTCCGAGACTGGTGCATGATAATGGTCCATTCTAAATCAAAACTAATTTCACACATATATTATTTAGTATATGCAAAGATTAAAGCAAGAATAGTCTGATGACTGACAATATTAGCCTATCAATTGTGAATTATATATTATCACTTGTGAATGATGCCCAGCGTGTGCAGTAAGGCAAGAAACAGAGCATGCCTTTTTTTCTCTCGACTTTTTCAAATCATAGTCCCACATCTCATGCAGCCTAGCCTATAGGCCTATATGTTTTGATAAGGTTTGTATCACAACTAAAGTGGCCAAATAACTTCTTAAAATTAAGCACATTCATCTGCTTTACAACCGGTGTAGAGCCTAACTGGCGTACATAGGCGGCGCGTGAGTTTCAAGTTTGGGGGAGATCGTTTTCACCATAAAAATGCGACTTTTATAATAAACATTACATGTATAATCGCACTCGTAGTATCTTTTTGAGAATGTTGTTTTCCCGCTAATTGATTGCATTTTCGAACATTCATAGCCTACTGCTATGTGTGCATTGCTGCGCTTATAATGTGAAGAAATAGCCTAATTAGTTTATATACATTTGAAGCTAAACATTCTGATCTGTTGCATTGGTAAAATAAATCATGTTAAAAAATGATGTGAGTGGTTGTGTTAATTTGGTATCTATCGCATCCCACAACTGTCCCAGAGAATGTTTGGAATATTTATTTATTGCACAGAAGGACAATTGACCAATGGAAAAGGTCAACTTTTGTACTATGGGGGATAGTAGATTGACATAGGGTAGTGCTTTTGCTGTTCGTTAGGCCTACTCATCTTTTTGGCTGACGATAAGTAAATGTGGACAGTTCTTCTAACATCTTCAATATGTGCCTCGGAATTCGATAAGAAGGACGCGCAGTTGCGTCTGTCTTCACTTATAGCCTAATTCAGAGCTGAGATGGATGCCTGTGAGAAGAGCCTGATCACGTGACGGTCATTGGCTAATAAGAATTGAGATATCTGAGAGAGACGTGAGTGAGAGGTTCTTCGGAAAACGCAGCCGGGAGAAGGGAATTATAATTATTATATTCAGCCCAAGGGCACAACGGCCACTGGCCACAAAAGGCATGGATTTTTTTAGGGGGCATTACGGCCACACTAGGGGGATTCCGCTGGGAAATTCGAGGCATTGTCTGTCAAATTGTGAATGAGAGACTGATGAAGTGTGTACAGCCTATGCAATAAACAAAGCAGAGCTCATGCCTTTCATGCAACTTTTTTCAAATCATCATTAGTCGCATCATGCAGCCTTAGAATGTATTAAAAATCAAAACATATAGCCCAACGTTTGTATCACAACTAAAGTTGCATAAATAGTTCGAAGCATATAGGAGGACCTGTTTCTTTGTTAACCGTTCAACACAGAATAGCCGCATGTGCACACTCCCTCAGAAATCGTTTGGAGAAAACATCCTTTCTATTTTATTCAGCTATGTTCAATTGTATTCTTCATATTATAAAATAATGCCACGGAATTTTAAGCAAATCTTGTCTGCTAAATGAACTATTGTAGCCCACAGCCATATGGCATTGCCAGATCAGGGTCTAACATAAGGACAACTCAGAGTATGCTATTCTGTTCTTCTGAAGTAGACTACATTTTCTTCATATCATGTATCTTTAGACCTGTCTAAAATAAGTAATGGATTTATTGTGAAGGTGTAGGCTATATTACATGGATTTATTAGACTTTCTAAAATGTAGACGTTCCAAAGGTCTGCATCAGTGGCTTGTAGGGTATGCGTGGAAGCCAGTAGATGCTAAATGTGTTTGGTAATTAACAGTCAATTACCTTCAGACCGTCAGTTATTTGCTTGACAATCACCGGCTGACAATTTCATGACCGCCACAGCCCTAGGTGGCACAGTTAGTTTACTATTGCTTTCTCTCCTCTTATCCCTGGTCCCGGTGCTAGTGCCCTCGGCCTTCATGAGTTACGGTTCCTACCTTACCCATCCCTTACAGCATTTTGATTATTTTATGACCCATCACACTGCCATGGCTTGTCCTGATGTTGATGATCCTAATGTTGAGTCAAACCATTATTTAAGAATTCTGTAAAGAAACGTACTGTATAAAGATTGAATTAGCCTAGGACAGGTCATATAATTTGCACTCCTCTTGTAGAACTGAGCGGCTTTGAGACTTCATTAGGGTTTGTTATTAGACCGGGAGATGTTTGGACTGTCATTACTCCTCCAGTACCTCCCCCCCTTTGCATTGACGTCAGCACAGCGATGCTAGGGAGGGAGAGCGGGAGGGAGGACTTGGCAGCTGGCTCTCAGAGCAGGCGAGGTAGTAATTTTCACAGCCCAACGTAAATGGGGAAAGGAGGAGCTTCTGTCTGAGTAGATAATACAGCAGAAACTCCTAGTGGTCTGGTGACCACTACTCTAAACAGCTTTTAAGAAGTGGTCAAGGTCAACCCTTGCTTGCATGCTCATCCCCTGCTTCCTCTGAGACTTGGCATGCTTGAGTCAGGTGGTGTTGTAGACAAGCCCTGCAGTGGATTGTAGAGGCTGGCGTGTAGCACAGAATGACTGTACCAGCATCCTTGGCCTGATGAGCTCACCCCTGATTCATGGAAACTTTGAGGTGGGTGCCAGGACGAGGAAGGAAACCTGTGTGTTTGCACCTCACTCACTCATACAGTTCACTGGCATCATCCAGCTGACTGTCTATATTTACATTTTACATTTACATTTTAGTCATTTAGCAGACGCTCTTATCCAGAGCGACTTACAGGAGCAATTAGGGTTAAGTGCCTTGCTCAAGGGCACATTTAGTGATTTTTCACCTAGTCGGCTCGGGGATTAGAACCAGCGACCTTTCGGTTACTGGCACAACGCTCTTAACCACTAAGCTACCTGCCCCCCCCCCATATATAACCTCTGTAGAGGGAGAGACACTTGTTTTGTTTCCTGTATATGTTGACTCCACAAATTGACTTAAGACCTCAGATCTTCTTTCATCTCCAATACTTTCTAATAATTTCGTTCTACATTCATTATACCTCAATAAAGGTGAAAGCTTCAGAAATGTTAAAGTATATCACTTTTGTGATACCATCCTTACTATATAGAAAGGCCCTCCTTCATTAGTTCTTCTGAAGTCATTGTGGTCATTGGTGACAGATCACATCTCCAGTCAAATGGCCAGCTGCCCGCGGTGCCTAGTGACAGATCCATGTTATAAGATGTGGGATGTCTGCTAATGAAGCATATTTTATGACTGCCTTATCGATTTCATAAAGAATTTGTCAACACCATTTACTCCATGAAATAAGTCTGTATTAACGCCATCGCTCTGTCCTCACTTGGCAATATCCCTGGCCCAATCACTGCTGTGACCAATAAGGGGTTTGTTCTCCAGAAGGCTCAGTTTATTGGTTTCAAGTCCAGTGGCAAGAATATAATGTAGTTTTAAATGGTGCAAAATGCGTTTGACCTTTTTACCTTCCAAATACTTCCTGAAATAAACCACACTTACTTCATGTATTTGGGGAAAGTTTGTGGGGAACATTCCCCATCTGGACCGGAAGGATGTGAAACTGAATATGAATTCAATTTCTCTTGATTTGAGAAGTAGCTCAATAAACAAGACCTATAAACAAGACTCTGGTTCCCACTCCCCTATTTTCTCCCGATCTGTTTTCCCTCCATTTTTCTAAGCCAGTACCAGTCAGGTTGGGTGGAGGAAATGGCTGGGTTTTCCAGAGAATGTGGAGCGCTGTAATTGGGGCAAGTCAGTACTGATTTGAGAAATCCCCTTCAAAGTAAAGCACTCATCCTGGGAGGCTGAACACTGGGTTCATACTGTCATGGATCATTAAACACTCATCTGTGTACAGAATTTGATTCAATGGATCTAAAATGTATTGTAAGGTCCCGATAACAATCTTCTTGATCTATTTTCTGCCTATGAACCCTGCATACTAACTCACTTTTCTCTTCTCTCTATCAGAATCTCCTCGGTTGTACTCTGCCGTCTCCATCAGTGGTGGTCATGTGCGACCAGACGGCTACAGCCGGCTGTGTGCTGACCCTTCGGAGGGAGAGCGTCCAGTGAGTCTGGTGTCCACTCTGTCCTCCGGCTCCTCCAGGGACAGCCACAGCCTCTACGGCAGTACCACGGCCCTCCCCTCCTCCACACCATCTCCCCCCAGTAGAGAGGACATTGACCTGGAGCTCAGCCCTGCAGAGGGAGCCAGGGAGCAGCCACAGACCCAGCTGCAGGGCCTCAGCCAGGGGGGGACCAGAGACAAGTGGCGGGACCACAGCCAGACCAGGTCCCAGTGCAACAACACCACCACCTCCAACAGGAGGGCTATTGTACCTCAGACCCCAACCTCGCCCTTTGCCACTGAAGCCATGGCGCCCAACCCCAAGCTCAGCTACGTTGACCGTGTGGTCATGGAGATCATTGAGACGGAGCGCATGTATGTCAGGGACCTTCGCAGCATCGTGGAGGTGAGTAGCTTTGAGCGTTGCGTCCATTCAGTTCTAGTTAATAGGACAGAGGCTTGACCTGAATCTATGCAATAGTATAATATAAATGTAAATTATATAGTGTAAGTTAATAGGTATTTCAGAGAGTGTTTCTCTTGGAATGGTATGTAGCAATGACTTAATGTCTGTACCTCCCTATATGGAAGTGATTTACTGGAGTTGGCCAGAGACAGTAAGGAATGGGCTTCACAGTTTTTAGAGAGCAAATAAGGTTCTCCATTTTCCAAGTGACTGCTTGCCTTGTAGCACGTGTCTGGTACCTATAAAATCTTCTAGGGTTGATTGTTTTACCAGGATCTAGTTTGATTTCCTGATGAGACAGTTCCCTGTGTATTTTGTAACTGGCATTTTCTTTTAAAAGGCATTTTCACAGTGGTGGAAAAAGTACCCAATTGTCAAAAGTAAAGATACCTTAATAGAAAATGACTCAAGTGAAAGTCACCCAGTAAAATACTACTTGAGTAAAAGTATTTGGTTTTAAATATCCTTAACTATCAAAAGTAAATGTAATTGCAAAAATATACAAGTATCAAAAGTAAAAGTATAAATAATTTCAAACCGCCTTATATTAAGCAAACCAGAAGGCACAATTTTCTTGTTTTTTATTTATTTACGGATAGCCAGGGGCACATGACAACACACAGTATGGATGACCAGGGATGTTCTCTTTATAAGTGTGTGAATTTGACAATTTTCCTGTCCTGCTAAGCATTCAAAATGTAACAAGTACTTTTGGGTGTCAGGGAAAATGTATGGGGTAAAAAGTACATTATTTTCTTTAGGAATGTAGTGAAGTAAAAGTTGTCAAAAAATTGCCTAAAAAACGACTTAAGTAGTACTTTAAAGCATTTTGACTTAAGTGCTTTACACCACTGCATTTTCATAATCGGATAGAAAATACCATATAGCCTGTAAAACCAGCAGATTAGGATTGTGAAGTGGCTGATACGTTGTTAAGCTGATGTATGTAATGCACTCTATATGTTTACATTACTGTGAATGCATACAGCTCTGAGACTGGGATCTCGCTATCTTCTCACGTCTTGAGTTCTAAAGCAGAATCAGGGCTAGGACCCAAAGCACCTCTTTCAAGGAAGAACCTCTCCCCTAATGAGCTTGGTCAGAGATATGAACGGATGCGCCTAACATCATCTCCTGGTTGTGGGAAATGGGACAGAGATGATTCTTCCACTCCGCAGTCAAGTCAACTGACCTCTTATCATGGCTGCTGGCTTTGTAGTCTGAAAACAACTGCCAACTGTGCAGATTGATCAGCCTCACCTATTGCCCCCTTCAGGTCGGAGTAATTCTCCTCTTTGGATTAGTACTGACAGGAGGATGGCGGCTTGAGAGCCCTGTAACGTACAGATTATAATGTCTTAAACACATGAAGCAGACAGGTCAGAGGTAGTGTGTTACTGGCTCTCCTCACCTTGTCTCTGTGTGGCTGACTGTGCTGCTGGCGCCTGGCCTAGGAGGTATTGAAGGGAGTTCTGCTCTGACCGAGCTCACGCTGCTGCAGCAGCAGCCAGAGTAATCACACAGTCCTGCTCCTGACAAACACTCCCACAATGCCTCAGGACTTCCAACTAACCCTGCCTAGCTGCCTGCTTTATTGCGCCCTAAACTAGGATACGGAGCCTTCCGGCCCCTTACAGGCAACAGCCAACACAAACACAGCCATCACAATGCCAACTGAAGAAACATAGCTGAGTAGCAAATGTTTTTCCACATACTTTTGTGGTTGGGGAAACTCTTTGAACAATCCCAAATCTAAATTCAGCATTTCAATGACTTGCTCTGCAGTGGCATCTTGTTGTGCAAGTTACAGTACCAGGCTCTCCCTTTCCATTATGTAAAACTTGTCACTTCAGTGATGTATTTGATGCATCTGTTTTGGTTTTGTCCTGCTACTGTCGCTTATGATGATGGCATTACACACGGGAAGCTGTTCGTGTCTGCTCTACGCCAGATAAACTATCCAGGAACATGCCTCTCCACACCACCTACTGTGTGTCACATCTGGGGAAGCAGAAACCTCCTTCTCTCAGCTCTTAGAACAGCTGTGTGACACAGGTGGAATCACACCTCCACTTCCACCTCAACAGATGTCCTGAAATGCTGAGGGTCAAAATCTCTCATTTTGGAGTACTGCTAGGATCCATAGCCTTCATTCCTTCCATTTCTCACTAGGCCATCTCTATTTCATTACATGTGCCACTTATGACTGCCCAGATGTCACTCTAAATGCCTCTTCCCCTCCCCCAGGGGTGCACTACCCTTTTATGGGTTACTCACCCATAACCACAAGCCTAGACCTAACGTTGTGCTGACAGTCTGATAGCAGGCTGTACATATGTTTGCAGGCTGTGTGTGGTCAGTAGGGGGCCTCTATGGGGGCCTCAGTGTGGCTGGTGTTAGTGGTGCACAAGAGTGGGACTGTGAGACGCCCTGCTAAATGCCATTCAGCATTGTTGTCACTGGACGGGAATGCTCCCACTATGAAATGGTTTAGTTCAGTGTGTGGTGAGAAGTGATGACTACTTTACTCTGCACTGACGGGGCTTGGGGTCTGTGTGCACGTGTGTTCGCATATACAAACAGTCGAACACTAAGTTTGTGAGAGGAGTAGCATCAGCCATTCCTGGCATATACTGAATGGCTAATGTGCCTCTGTTTTTAGTTTATATTAATATCTACTCCAGAGTAGTCCTGCAGCCCGATAGGAGAGGGGCCATGGGAGGAGAACACTGTGTGCTGGTCTGATGGACTGGGTTTTACAGAACTACTGCCAGAGGGTCAAACTGCCCTCCAGTAACAAGGAATAAATCCTTAAAAGGACCATTGAAACATTACATCAGAACCACTTGGATTTGAACACACTGATCCTGAGTCATACAGTGTTGTTGTAACGGACAGCAGATAGGCATCATCCTATGTGGTCTTTTTGAGCCTGGTCATAAAAAGTGCAAACAGGATGTGCAATAAATTGAAACAACATTGAAGCAGAATCCACCACGAGCTAACAGCAGGAGCATATTAAGTTCTCTATACACAAGCTCCCTCTACTGGAAATAATCTGAAATTGCAGTTTAGACTGAAAATATACACAGCGCACACACACAAAGTATATTTGGTTTTTCGTAGGGCAAATTGTACCTGCAGTATAACCACAGTCTTGTTGTTTAGGATTACCTGGCTCACATCATAGACATGGACAACCTTCCCATTCGACCAGACCAAGTTTCTTCCTTGTTTGGGAATATAGAGGACATCTATGAGTTTAACAGGTAAGCCTCAGACACCTGTCTGTCAATGCCCCATGTTCTCCCAAAATGACAAGGCAAATGAACTGCAACTGTAACTGCATGTACGCGTTTTCTTTTTACAGACCGTCTTCACAAAAACAACTTGGTACACATTTAACACTCATTACACTCAACTTGGAGCAGACATTGGGAAGACAGTGACATTTTAGTGGAACGCTGTTTTGACAGAGATGCAGATGGATTAAGAGGCTTTCTGGCAAGAGCGCTGTTTTATGGCTGTGTTGGAGAGTTTGACCTCAAAACAGATTTAGACCGATAGAGAAAAAAATTGCTAACTAACACCAAACACGCAGATTGGCCCAGAACAACACAGCAGATTGGGATCAGTTAAGCATTAGACACATTACATTATGGCTGTATGTGTCCACTCTGCTCCAGATGTTATCAGGACCATCACCCACTCTGTGCACCCGTTTGGATGTTTAGATAGACAATATATGGTGGTGTTCAGGTTTTTTCCTATGTAAACGTATCGTGTCAGCATATGTTCACTAAGCCTCATGCCAAAAGAGAAGACCCATAAATATCACTATGCTCTGTCAGGTTCCTCCCATACACTTCCCAATCATAGTGTAATGCCATAGAAACCAAATGGTGAAGATAAGGTTCTGTTGCCTTTATAATAAGATTCCTACCCGCATAGACTTCTAAAATAGAGGTTTTGATTAGTGTTTGTTGTTTCTTCTACAGCAGGGAGCGTTTTCATATACATTCCTCTGATTCTCCTACAGCATCAATATACAATGTGTTTACATTGGAGTGGGAAGTTTGCTTTTGTTTTAGAGTAATTTAGAAAGTAAATGAAGTGTGTCTGTTGGAATGGATTATTAGGATGTTGTCTAATCGAGACACTGCACACTATGCATCATCTCGGCTAAACGCTGCGACTGAGTCGTGCCAATTAGCAGGAAGTGCCCAGGGGGAGCAAATTACTGATGCGCAAGAGGCAAGCGTACTTCTAAAGCACTGGTTTGAAAACATGTGCAACACTGATGCACTCTCCCAAGTTGATCAAGGACAGATTAATTCAAGCAGAATGTACGAACCTCTGAAGAGACATGAAATGTAATTCTCTGTTATCTGTATTGTATTGGAGATTGATGGTCTCACGCAGACAGTTCAATGTCATACACAGGGTTTTCAGACGGTTCTAGACTTGTCATTCAGTTTAGAGATGTGCGTGACTGACTAGTGACTGTCTCTGGGTCGTTTTGTGATTTTAAAGTTCCCACTACAGTACTGGTCTGACCCACAGTGACACACTGCACCCCTGAAACAGACCACATCTGCCCTGGCACTATAGGCCACATATTGGCTTGATGAAAGAATGTCTAGGAACATGTTCATGAATATGATTTTTAGGCAAAAATAAACATCAAACAAAAAAGCAGAAAGACATTTCATTGTACTCAGAGCATATTGACACATTGGTATGTTTTTCCTTAATTATTTTGTCAGCCCATGCAGCTGAATGGTGTTTGATGTAAGTTATGGAATGAGAAATGGAAATGTATGGAAAGTGTTTGATTTTCTTTGTTTGGGCATGTGTGTGGCCAGTGAACACGTAAAACACCTTTTGTGGTGATGTTGTGTTGGTTTTGTACTCCTTTATGTTTTGCAGTGGTGACCCCTCTCTCCTTGTGTCCACTCTGCTGTGGGAAACCAGACTCTCTGGAGTCTATGGACAGAATGAGGTTAACCAGAACAAACACATTCAGCCATGCAAATTCTATTGAGTTGGGTATCGCCACAGGCAAAACATAAACATGTTGTTGTAGTACCTGCATGTACAGGTAACTGCCAAAATAAAGGAAACACCAACAGTGTCTTAATAGGGCGTTGGCCAGAACCGCTTCAGTGCACATAGGCATAGATTCTACAAGTGTCTGGAACTCTGTTGGAGGGATGCGACACCTTTCTTCCATGATAATTTCCATTATTTGGTGTTTTGTTGATGGTGGTGGAAAACGGTGTCTCAGGCGCCACTCCAGAATCTTCCATAAATGTTCAATTGGGTTAAGATCTGGTGACTGAGATGGCCATTGCATATGGTTTAAATCGTTTTCAGGCTCATCAAACCATTCAGTGACCACTTGTGCCCTGTGGATGGGGGCATTGTCATCCTATGGGGGCATAGCCATGGTAGCCAAAATAATGGCCTGCCCAGCATTTTTATACATGACCCTAAGCATGATGGGTTGTTAATTGCTTAACTCAGAAACCACACCTGTGTGGAAGCAGCCGCTTTCAATATACTTTGTATCCCTCATTTATTGTTTCCAATATTTTGGCAGTTACCTGTAGTTTACACTGAATTCCTCTTCTTGCTGTCTCTGACTAGACCTCAGGTGTCTGTATAGTTGATGCTGTGCATGTCTGTCGGTCTTCCTCCACAGTGAGCTGCTGCAGTCTCTGGACACGTGTGAGAATGACCCTGTGGCTGTGGCCAGATGCTTCGTAGACAAAGTAAGTGGAGACCACTCACAGACAGACTGAATTGAACCTATCATCAGGAAGCTGGACAGGCTAGTGTTATTGATCTGGTTTTGTGTTCTTCCTCCCTTTTACTATTTTATAGAGTGATGATTTTGAGATCTACACGCAGTACTGCACAAACTACCCCAAGTAAGTAGAAGGAATAATTTAAAGGTTTTCTGGAACCTTTGGGCGGCAGGTAGCTTAGTGGTGAAGAGCGTTGTGCCAGTAACCGAAAGGTCGCTGGTTCTAATCCCCGAGCCGACTAGGTGAAAAATCTGTCGCTGTGCCCTTGAGCAAGGCACTTAACCCTAATTGCTCATGTAAGTCGCTCTGGATAAGAGCGTCTGCTAAATGACTAAAATGTAAATGTACTATGGACATGTTTAAATAACAATGAAACAGTCATATGTACGATCCATTGGCTTGTATTTTCTCTAGCTCTGTGGGTGCACTGACAGACTGCATGAGGAGTAAGACCCTGGCCAAGTTCTTCAGCGATCGCCAGGCCTCTCTCAAGCGTTCTCTCCCCCTGGGCTCCTACCTGCTCAAACCTGTCCAGAGGATACTCAAATACCACCTGCTTCTGCAGGTACACTGGTCCTCACTACATACTACCTTTACTACGGGTAGAGATGGTCTAAGGAAACAATATAGAATTGTCCTTGTGCAATTGCAGGTTGATTATGGGGTCCTTTGACAGGAGGGCAGTTCTTTTATTTATTTTTTGCATTCAACCTTTAACCTAGCAAGAAGATGGCAAAGAATTGTATTGTATACTACAACAACACAATCAACCCCACTCCAGAGGTCTTGACTCTTCATGCTGTGGTTGTTTGCTCTCTCTCTCGCTAAAAGGAGATCGCCAAGCACTTTGACCCTGACGAGGAGGGCTATGAGGTGGTGCAGGAGGCCATCGACACCATGACCGGAGTGGCCTGGTACATCAATGACATGAAGAGGAAACACGAGCACTCTGTCAGGCTGCAGGTCAGTATGGCTACTCTCAGGGTGGGGTGAATGGAATTTTTCCCACCCCTTTCCACCTACCACTATTGTGATATACTGTACCTGCATCATTGTGTAGTGCTGCAATGATATCTAATTGAGGTAATTTTGTAGGTGGCTATGTTTCTCTAGAGGTTTTTATATCAGATAATGAAGTGTATGCTGTTTCACTGTGTTGCTGGAGGTCGTGTTGATAAGGCATTATGTTAGTCACCCAGCCTCTGAACTGTTCCAGGTTGCTGCCCTGCTGTCCCACAGTAACTCTCTGGCTGAGGTTAATGTACTCTGTGTGGAGAGGCCATTCCTTTTTTATTTGTTGTTCTAATAAACCTCTAATTTCCACCACCAACCTTAAGACATGTTCTAAAGCCTAAGTCTTTGGAAAGAAATTGGCCAAGGCAAATTGGTCTTATAGGGACCCAATAAATCAACTGCTGTTTAACCCTCCTAAACACCAGCCCCCCTGGGGTAACAGAACCACCAGCTTCTACAGGGTCACCTTGTCTGCTGCGTTTGGGTTTTGTTTCAATTCCTGCTTTTGATTGGATGGTGAGATCACTGCCCATGGTTTCCCTGGCCTAACTGTGTTTTTTCATGTTACAACAAAAAACAACAGACACAGTTCTCTACGCCGACTTTGCACCTCTTGTGCATGCTTTCATGTACAGTTTTGCCAGTGTAGTGTACCCAACCAATGTTTAGGAGACCTAGATACAAGCACTGCTCATATAGGAGTATGTATGTGTTGTGTGTGCAGGAGATCCAGTCTCTCCTGATCAACTGGAAGGGCCCTGACCTCACTACATATGGAGAGCTGGTCCTGGAGGGAACTTTCCAGGTACAACGTGCCAAGAACACCAGGATGCTGTTCCTCTTCGACAAGATGCTCCTCATCACCAAGAAGAGAGGAGAGCACTACGTCTATAAGACCCACATCTCGGTACGGAGCAGGCACAGTCGACCAGTCTAACCCGGATGTCATGGGCTTGCTGTGTCAGGTTGGTTTAACGTTTGTGTAATGTTTCTGTATGTGTTTGGTTTCAGTGCTCGACCCTGATGCTGCTTGACAGTGCCAAGGACCCCCTGCACTTCAGTGTGATACACTTCAAGCATCCCAAGCAGCCTCACACTGTGCAGGTGAGTGTGGATCTACCACCACATCATAAGCCTGTCCTCTCTTGTAATAGTTCTCTATGAACTCACTATTTTACATTTTAGTCATTTAGCAGATGCTCTTATCCAGAGCGACTTACAGTGCTTTTTTTCCCATCTTTTTTTCATACTCACAATAATTGACAAGTGTCTGTTTCAGGCCAAGACTGTAGAGGAGAAGCGCCTCTGGGCTCATCATATCAAGAGGCTGATTCTAGAGAACCACCACACCATCGTCCCACAGAAGGTAAACCTAACAGCAGGGATTCTTCTCCGCTCCTGTCAAGTAGCCTACAGTCTTCCACCATCCACTCTCATCCCCCACTCACATCAACACCTATTACTAATGTTGTCTTCTGATTTCTGTCTTCCAGGCAAAAGAGGCCATCCTGGAAAGGAATTCTCTCTGTGAGTATTCCAGATAAATTAATATGGTTACTATTAATAAAAGGTAAAGGCACTAACCATATGCTGGCTGCAGCTGTTACCAAAGCAACAGAAAATGCCGTCATTGAGTGCAAGAGGATCACTTAATTTACTGGAAATACAGTGGGGGAAAAAAGTATTTAGTCAGCCACCAATTGTGCAAGTTCTCCCACTTAAAAAGATGAGAGAGGCCTGTAATTTTCATCATAGGCACACGTAAACTATGACAGACAAATTGAGAATTTTGTTTCCAGAAAATCACATTATAGGATTTTTAATGAATTTATTTGCAAATTATGGTGGAAAATAAGTATTTGGTCACCTACAAACAAGCAAGATTTCTGGCTCTCACAGACCTGTAGCTTCTTCTTTAAGAGGCTCCTCTGTCCTCCACTCGTTACCTGTATTAATGGCACCTGTTTGAACTTGTTATCAGTATAAAAGACACCTGTCCACAACCTCAAAAAGTCACACTCCAAACTCCACTATGGCCAAGACCAAAGAGCTGTCAAAGGACACCAGAAACAAAATTGTAGACCTGCACCAGGCTGGGAAGACTGAATCTGCAATAGGTAAGCAGCTTGGTTTGAAGAAATCAACTGTGGGAGCAATTATTAGGAAATGGAAGACATACAAGACCACTGATAATCTCCCAAGATCTCCCAAGATCTCACCCCGTGGGGTCAAAATGATCACAAGAACGGTGAGCAAAAATCCCAGAACCACACGGGGGGACCTAGTGAATGACCTGCAGAGAGCTGGGACCAAAGTAACAAAGCCTACCATCAGTAACACACTACGACGCCAGGGACTCAAATCCTGCAGTGCCAGACGTGTCCCCCTGCTTAAGCCAGTACATGTCCAGGCCCGTCTGAAGTTTGCAAGAGTGCATTTGGATGATCCAGAAGAGGATTGGGAGAATGTCATATGGTCAGATGAAACCAAAATGTAACTTTTTGGTAAAAACTCAACTCGTCGTGTTTGGAGGACAAAGAATGCTGAGTTGCATCCAAAGAACACCATACCTACTGTGAAGCATGGGGGTGGAAACATCATGCTTTGGGACTGTTTTTCTGCAAAGGGACCAGGACGACTGATCCGTGTAAAGGAAAGAATGAATGGGGCCATGTATCGTGAGATTTTGAGTGAAAACCTCCTTCCATCAGCAAGGGCATTGAAGATGAAACGTGGCTGGGTCTTTCAGCATGACAATGATCCCAAACACACCGCCGGGGCAACGAAGGAGTGGCTTCGTAAGAAGCATTTCAAGGTCCTGGAGTGGCCTAGCCAGTCTCCAAATCTCAACCCCATAGAAAATCTTTGGAGGGAGTTGAAAGTCTGTGTTGCCCAGCGACAGCCCCTAAACATCACTGCTCTAGAGGAGATCTGCATGGAGGAATGGGCCAAAATACCAGCAACAGTGTGTGAAAACCTTGTGAAGACTTACAGAAAACGTTTGACCTGTGTCATTGCCAACAAAGGGTATATAACAAAGTATTGAGAAACTTTTGTTATTGACCAAATACTTATTTTCCACCATAATTTGCAAATAAATTCATAAAAAATCCTACAATGTAATTTTCTGGATTATTTTTTCTCATTTTGTCTGTCATAGTTGACGTGTACCTATGATGAAAATTACAGGCCTCTCTCATCTTTTTAAGTGGGAGAACTTGCACAATTGGTGGCTGACTAAATACTTTTTTCCCCACTGTATATTAGCTTCTATGAAAACCTTTTGGAACAATTATTAATTGTTGTGTCCCAAGTAGATGAGTAGAGAGTGATTGCTTTGACTGGCCTGGTAGTGAGTGAGGAGTAGTGATGCTTGCTGTGCTGTGTGCAGACCCAGGGTCAGGGAGGTACCGCTATAGCCCAGAGAGGCTGAAGAAAGCTGTATCCTGCCAGGCTGAAGACTTCCCTGCAGAAGGGCGACACGGACGCAGGAGATCAGGTATATTAGTTCCCCTGGAAAACAACACTAAAGCAATCTCATCAGGCTTACACTTACCCACAGTCCTACAATGTGGGAAACATTTTTTTTAAAGAGACTCCTTGGTTAGACATTTGTTTGGTTTTGTGTCTCAGAAGCTCATTGCTTGTGTGATATCTGTCTATAAGAGTAAACAGTATTGCCACAAATATATTCACTATGCTTCGACCATGTCTTTTTCCAATTTTAGAACCAGCGAAACAGATTGTGAGGACAACCAAAGGTAACAAAGGCAACAATAATGCCACTATTTTCCTTTTCATTGTTATCTATAATAGTTATCTTAAACAGTCTGTTAAAGAGGTCTTTGTCGTTCATTATCATGAGGAGATTTGTATGTTAAATAAACATTGAGACCAGATTAACAGACCGACAGGCAGCTGCTCATTACACTGGAGCCACTGCTGCTATGATTCAGGTTCTCTGTCGCTCGTACGAAGTCTCTGTATTCACCCCATACTTTCATTCTGCCCTAGATAGACCCCTGGACAGCCAGATCAAAAGGCCAGCCCCTCACTCCACTCTCTCACCCCCGCACTCCCCTCTGCCCTAGCTCACCCATAATGATGTAAATTATGGGCCATGTTACTGAAAGGCTTTGTCATGCTCAAGCTCTTTTCAATAGTCAAATTCAGTCCTGGCTTTAGATCTGTGGCTCGCGCTACTCTCATGCATTTTAATTGTCCAGTAATGAAAGGACACAACTAAGTACCTCTGTCTTGTCTCTCTGGAGTCTTTACGCCCTCTCAAATCAATTTAGATACAAACCTAATGAAGTTATTTTCTTGTTCTTTCTTCCTCGGTCAGAGAGGACTGTCCTTGTGAATTGCATCATTTCTGAGTCTCTGAAAGGAGGCATTTCTCATTCACAGTTTATCCAATGAACTTGCTCAGATATTATTACAGTACTTTATATAAATGGAGTTTGTTGAATTGGCAATATTGTTGACATTCTCCTTTATTTTTCTCCTCCTGACTTGCAGCCATTCTGAAGGTAAGCTTCCCAATGATGAAAGAAAATGTTTCCCTGCCATGTTTTTTTTCTTCTCTGTGCAGAAAAGAGAAACAGTTGACTCAGTTCAATGTGTCCAGTGAGATAATGTTGTTCTCCCAGGTTTGACCCTGACTCAGCAAGGTTTTCTCTGCATTTCCATTCAGAGAGAAATGAACCAAAAGAGAGGAACTGCTACTCTAAGCCGTATTGGGCTAAACTGTGTTAGTAAAATGTTTCTGTCTCAGGGTTTTCAGTGATGATGTAATGCGTTCACAGCGCGGGATGGACAGCATGCTGGCTTGGACACATTGTTGTGCCTTCATATCTCACACCATGCTAAAGCAGTCACAGTGATACCATCCTTTTCAAAACATTGCAATTGCATTCAAAACACAACAGCTCTATGCTGGCGTCGCAGTAACACCTCAACTCTCTGTGACTTCACACTACAGCATGCAGACAGTGAAGGTGCTCTGCTGGGGGACAGGCGTTCCCTGCAGCCCTCTGCTAGTGTCGGTATGCTGGGCTCCAGTCTAGGCAAGCCAAAGGCTGAGAGGCCTAGTGTACAGGAGGACCAGGAGGAGCTATGTCCCAGTGACGGTGAGGACCCTAGGCCAGGGTCCCCGCCCGACCAGGGGGGCACTGAGCAGGAGGAAGAGACTGAGGAGGAGAAGGGGGAGATAAACATGGATGATATTCTGATGGAGGACGACCAGGTAGCCGACTTTGCCAGCTCTATGCTGGCAGCCATCTCCTGCTGGCACTATAGGGCCAGGGCTTTGCTTTCCGCTCGGTTCACAACGGTGAGGTGCACTGCCACCAATGGGTTTCCTATTTTCTCTGCCATTTCATTGGCTTGCCAATCAACAATCTCTCTTTGTTTACCTCGACCTTGATGTAATTCACTAACACCCAGCCACCATTTGCCATACTCATGGAATGCTTCTGGCTTTCACACTCACACAATAACTGCATGGACTAAACCTTCCAGGAATGGTAACAACAGTCAGTAGCATGAAGATCTGGTCACTGGAGATCAGATTTATGATTCATCATGTTTGTCTTAATTTAATGTTGGGGAAAAGTGATGGTATTATGTAGATTATAAATATAGATTTGATGTGTTCAAGTCATTAAAAGGCTTCGTATGTTTAGAATTTTAGGTTTTTTAGAAGTGAAGGGTTAACACACATACTACCATGTTTTTCTCTCTTGTGTTGCGGGGAGTTACAGACCCAAAATCAACATTGTAGAAATGACTAATTAGAAGTTAGCAATTAGCCTTGTGCTTATTTGGCGGTTGCATTTGCATTGAATCAATGGATCCACAGAGCTGATGTATGACTTCAAAGGTGAATTTGGCTGTCAAATCAGGGAGTCAGGATAATAGGTTCTTTGGTAATCACATTAGTTAAAAGGTTTCCCTTTTCATTATTCCCAAAGAGGAGGTTTTTAAAGGTTAATTGCTGTAATGGGATTAAAATGGCCTGAACTTTGAATATCTCTAATATGAATGTCAGCTGTCTATGTAATGTATGTATTGTCACACAGGTGCTTTACAACCCAATGCTAATCAGTATTGTGACTGTCTGGAACCAGAGGACAGAGCCTTATTAAGTCTTATGTGATACTCCAATGTATGGATTTTGGCCATGTAGAAGGCACAGTGCTGCAGTCCCCTTCATAATGTGTTCTGCTGTCCCAGGATGAAGAACACTGTGAGGTTGTAGATGAGAAGAGACCAATGGGGGAGAGGATGGATACATCAGCCCAGGAGATCAGTGAGATGGCTACAGTGGAGGCCTTCGCTGACCAGGTATGGAGAGTGTGGACTGGCTGGGTCAAAGTTAAGGTGATCTCTGCACCCAGAACCAAATCAGTCACGCGAGACTAAGCTTCAAGAGATCCTTCTGAATGGATGAATGTTTTTGGTTCTTCTATATCTCTCAGGCAATGCTTTCAGAAAAGTATTTAATATTTTGAGAGGGATGGGAATTTAGGAAATATCCAGCAAAGAAGACTGATAGTTGGCCCAAAAGATGAGCCCTGTTCTGTTCCGATAAGTCCTCTTGGCATCTTAATAGCCTACAACTAGGGGGCATAGCTGCAGGAAGTAGGGGTGTTGAGGGTGCTGCAGCACCCCCTGACAGTAGTGCACTGGTGAGCTATATCATCTAACATATCCAGGGAATGCATGATTGATATTTTGATGTGCAACCTGTCAAAATAGGATCCAGAATTGTCTGATTTATTTTGGGCTCTTTAGAGATGAATTTGCCGACATCTTCATGCATATTATTCACCACCTGAGGAAGTGGAAACTCAAAACACTAGATATGATCTTGTTGCTAGATAGCCATGTAGGCTAATTGATTCATCTATCAGTAAATGTAGGCTAATGCCTACGTTTTCCAGTGCTAGGCGAAGGCTACTTGATGTAGGCCTATTCAGCGAAAATGGCGCACTCAGCTCGGCTCCACAGGCGCATCAAAACCATACTACATAGCCTAGCCTCCGGTTGTACAGTGGTGCCATGAACTCAACAGGTGAGAAATAAATTGTATACTCACAAAAAGCTGTGACTCTCCTCTCTGTAACTAGAACAGTAGTTGCTTTGAAAACTGTCCTTTTCCCGCAATTGCATTTTGAGCAACGGTCAGATGCTTGTGCTTAATGCATCTCTCCCTCCTCTGTGCGCACAGTGGGGAGAGGGAGTGGCTCGCTCACACATCAGCTGACAGCTAAAGAAACCGGGACAGGCAGATACTTTCATAGTATGAATCAACATAATGCATATATTACTGTTGACCAAATTATGGTTTTAGAACAAAAAAAATTGCAGGAACGTTGGGTAGCAAAATCACTGACTATTACCGACCTAAACAAAATGCTTCGGTAAGAGGGCAGTATCGGTAATTTTTTGTTTATCATCCCAGCTCTAGGGGGTTGTGTATTTATGTCCTGTAAATGAAAACATCCCCTCCTCCATGCTGTTGCCGCCTGTCATCTCTCATGGTGAGAAATGCAGCATTTTGATATTGGGACGGGGAATAGAACCTGCGTCTCCTGGGCGCTCTGTGGGACGGCGGGTTCCAAGCCGAGTGTGACAAGATGTTTTCATCCCTCCCTTATCTCCTTCCCGCAGCTCCCTGCACACACACACACACCACCACCATCACAGCCAGACGGTGGCTGGAAATTAGTCTGTTATAACTGCACACGAGTCAAATTGGTGTTTTTTGAAATTGCTATGAGTTCAGCAGGGGTGTTTGACATGGCCCGTGGCAATTGTATTTGAGGAATGTCCTGATCATTTTCACACTATCCATTATGCTGTCCTTTCCTTTGACAGAATATTAGACGACATGTGCTACTATCAGAGGTCATGGCTGCTGTAGAAGATTAGCCTGATCATTTAACTCGGCTCATTGGTCAAATGCCAGATAATGACTGGGTATTTTAACATCAGCACCTGTTGGCTTATCATATCCAAATTGCCTTAACCATCCTGATGTTAATATTGACTCTTCTTTCCTCCTAATCCAGGCATATGTGGAGGTGCTTCCTCAAAGCAGTGCTCCTAAGGTAGTGGTAATGGAACAGAGTGAGGAGAACCCACCCCTATACACAGAGCCTGATGCCTTGCCCACCCTGCCTCCCAGACAGCTTGAGACATCTCGGACACCGGAGCCTGAGAAGAGGAAAGAGGAGAGGTACAGAGAGGGAGAAGAGGAGGAGAGATACAGAGATGAAGAGGAGAAGAGTGACCGCTCTGCCCACCAACAGGACGAGATGAACTCCTCATCAGCGACCAATGGAGAGTGTTCGGAGTTGGAGGAGGAGGATAGGGCGGTGCGGACTGAGACCAGCAGTATCCTACCTGCCTCTGTGTTGGACCAGGCCAGTGTAATTGCTGAGCATTTTGTCAGCAGCCTGTCCCGGAGAGGCAGCCTGGTGGTCTCAGAGGATCTGCATTCCCTGGGCTGCCCCACACCTCAGCCGGGCAGCAGGAGCAGCAGCAACCCCGGTCTGAGCACCATGCTCCAGGAGAAGGCCCAGACCCTGGTCAACTCCACCCCAGAGCCCCCACTGCTCCTCGAGGCCAACACCTCGATGCCTGACCCTAGACCAGACCACCTCATGGAGGTGGAGCGCCGGTCCACTCTCTCCAAGCAGGACCGGATACTCATCCACAAGATCAGGAGGTACTACGAACATGCTGAGCACCAGGACGCCAGCTTCAGTATCACACGCAGGGAGAGCCTGTCCTATATCCCTGCAGGCCTGGTCAGACACCTGAGCCGGCAGCTTAATGGCAAACCCCAGGACCAGGTGGTTCCAGGGCACCGGAAGAGCCCCCCGAACATCCGGCCCACCTTCTGGTCAGTATTCGACCTTCCTGGCTTAGAAAAAGAGCAGAGGACTAATAATACCCCTGTGCTGGAGCTACAGCGAGCTGCAGACCCAAAGCCCAGGTCCCAGAGAGTCAATGATGCTCCTGTTGGAGATGGGGAAGAGTTCTTCAGACCCTCCTCGGACATGGTTCAAGTGTGGCAAGACCTGGAGATGGAGGAGGTCAATGGGACCCTTGAGGAACCCAAGGGTTCCAATGGTACAGAGGAAATTGTCCATCCCAGATCACATCTATCCTGGAAGGGGGGAACCAGCAGAAATGGCCCTGAAGCTGAGTACATCGAGCCCATGAGGATCCTGGAGGAGTCAAACATGGGCAGTGTCTCAGAGGAATCCCCAGTCCAATTACCCATCACAATCGCCCCAGACCCCTTCTCAGGGCATGAGTCCTGCAAGAATAAGACTCCCAAGTCCTGGGAGAGAGGCGGGGTCAGTGACGCTCCACTCCCCAGGATAATCAGTCTGTGTTCAGGGGTAGAGGAGGACCTGATCCTGCAGGACATGGAGAAGATGAAGAACAAGGTGTTCCAGCTGGCCCGCCAGTACAGCCAGCGCATCAAGAACAGCAGGCCTGTGGTGAGGCAGAGAAACAGGGAGGCTGAGAAACACCTTGCTCCCAAGAACCTGCCAGCTGTCTATGAGGAGAAGGTCCAAAAGAGAGACTGGGGTAAGCTTTCATATTTATTTATTTTTATGTTTTGCTGATCAGTTATGATTTGATATGATACTCTATTCTGTAAAGCTGAAATTATAAAACCGCTGTCCCTTTTCTCTGCCCTGTCTTTCTGTGTATGCAGGTAGAGCTAACCTGATGCTGTCACTCAACTCCTATGAGCAGGTGGTCGTGCATGAGCTGAGGAGCCCAAGCCCAGCCCCAAGCCTCAGTTCTGGGGCCAGCTCACGGGTCATGTCCCCTTGTCCCAACGGTCCTCCAAGCCCAGTGCAGACAGAGATTTTCCACTGGCCAGATGTCCAGGAGCTGCGCTCTAAATACACTAACCCCAGGCTGGACCCGGGTTCCTCCCACGCCTCACCTGTCAGTCGTAGCTGCTCCGTCCCAGAGAGGATGGAGAGTTGCACTGAGGGGTTCAGCACCTCATGGGGCCCCACTGGCTATTCATCCAGCTCCAACGGCTCCACAGAAATTAACAGTGCCCTAACAGACTCCCTTGAGACTACGTCATCCATGGCCCACCGGGGTGGTGGCTCTGTGGGGAAGGCTAAGCCCCAGCCCCCGCTGCGCAGGTGGAACTCTTTGGATCACATGCTGGGAACACTGTCTCTACATGAACTGCAAAACCTCCAGGTGCCCACGAGGAGCTGTTACGTGGCTGGTCAGACCACCCTGCCCAACGAGCACAAGGTTATTATAGTGGAGAGGGTTCCTGGCGCAAGGCCAGTGGAGACTGGAGGGAAGGAGAGAGTAGAGGAGCAAGGAGCTAAAGGAAAGGGCCAACTCAAAATCTTCAAAAGCCTCGACTACCAGTACTGTGCCAAGGGGTCTCCACTGACTTCAGGCAAAAATACTGAGGGTAGTCTGGTAAAAAACTTACGGGTGAAATTCCAGAACTTGGGTTCAACAACACATGAACACTTGAAAACTGTAAAGACCATGCCTATTTGATTGCAATCTGTAAATCATGAAACAAGCCTTCTCTTACCTAAATATGAAATTGACATTGATACATATGAATATTGTCCAGTAACAACTGCTACTGTTTTATGATTTCCAAAATTATTTTCTACTTCCTTTTTGTCCGTGTTATCTTTTCAGTTACTGGTATGATTTGTGGTAATGTAACCTCTGGTGTTATCTACAAGGGATATTGAACTGTCAAGAGAGCACCCCATGGGAAATGATGTTGTGACTTTGTAAAATGTGTAAATACGTGTACATTTGTCTTGTTCTTACACCATCATGAAATCTGTATATGTAAAGAGAATGAGTATGAAACTGGTTTTGTTTAATATTTGAGGAAAAAAAACGTCAGCGTATTAGAGCGTAGATCTGTCCAGATTACCACTTTCCTTTTTTTTGCTGGATCACTTAGAATATTTTCTCCCACAATGCAATGGTCACCCTCCATTTGTGATTCAAATGTGAGGGTCATAAGCAAGGAAATGGTGAAAAGAGATTCGGGGAATGAACAATTAATATATAAAGGGGAGTAAATCTGGAAGGCTGTGCCACCATCTAAGAGATTACTGCAGATTTACAGCCAAGACGGCGCCATTAGGACTTGCTCATCCCTATTTGACCTTTGACCAAAGTGTTTATCCCTTAGTTTTGTCATAATGGGAGATATATGGTCTGTGCTGTCTACTATTCAGCCCACTGTGCCACATCTAGCACTATCATTGTTTTCATACATCACTGGAACTGTTTTTCTGATTCTTATATATTTCCCTTGTTATTTATAAAATGATCATCGTCTTCATACAAATATTGACCAATAGTTGTAGACTTTTCCATTCCAGAAACTGCGCAGAATAATTTAATGCTTGAAATGGCTTATATTCTCAATAAAATCAGATATTAAATGTACATAATTATTTGTGGTTCCTTTTGTCAATAGGAAAAATGATCTAATATGAAAAATGAATGAAGGCATGTTTTTGGTTGCTTGTACATTTTTTAGATTTTTTTTGGAAGTAGGCTACATACCGGCCGTAACGGGAGTAAATTAAGATGATAGCTCAGCGAAAGTCCATATTTGAACATATTTTGACATAACGGTTGCAGAGCTGTAATGGGAGTTTGAATCTTAGCTTCCTGGGCATTAGAGAGGAGACTCGTCATACTAATTGTAGACATCTTTAACAGATACTGTGGCAGATGAAACCTGGTTTGTATGTCTGATATGATCCCATTAGGCTGTGTCTAGACTTGACAGTTCATACAGCTTCTGATCATTGAGTTCTGATCATGGAATTCCGAAAGTGTCATGCATCTATACACTTACATTTACACTGAACAAAAATATAAACGCAACATGTAAAGTGTTGGTCCCATGTTTCATGAGCTGAAATAAAAGATCCCAGAAATGTTCCATACGCACAAAAAGCTTATTTATTTCAAATGTTGTGCACATTTGTTTACATCCCTGTTAGTGAGCATTTCTCATTTGCCAAGATAATCCAACCACTTGACAAGTGTGGCATATCAAGAAGAGGATTAAACGGCATGATCATTACACAGGTGCACCTTGTGCTGGGGACAATAAAAGGCCACAGATGTCTCAAGTTTTGAGGGAGCGTGCAGTTGGCATGCTGACTGCAGGAATGTCCACCAGAGCTGTTGCCAGATAATTAAATGTTAATTTCTCTACCATAAGCCACCTCTAACGTCGTTTTAGAAAATTCGGCAGTACTTCCAACTGGCCTCACAACCGCAGACCACGTGTAACCACGCCAGCTCAGGACCGCCACATCCGGCCGGCTTCTTCACCTCCTCGAACGTCTGAGACCAGCCACCCGGACAGCCCTTTTGTGGGGAAAAACTCATTCTGATTGGCTGGGCCTGGCTCCCAAGTGGGTAGGCCTATTCCCACCCATGGCTGTTCCCCTGCCCATTCGTGAAATCCAGAGATTAGGGCCTAATGAATTTATTTCAATTTACTGATTTCCTTATATGAACTGTAACTCAGTAAAATCATTGAAATTGTTGCATGTTGCGTTTATATTTTTGTTCAGTATAAATGTGTCCACAGTGTGTCCGGATTCCCTTTTCCCGCACTACATTCAAATGCCAGTATACATTCTACAAATGGTGGAATAGGCAAAATATGATAACACAACAACTGATGGCAGTAGTTCTACTGTAGCCAACTAGCCAGCTGACCTCTGTAGCTAGCAAGCAATGCTTAAGGGATTGCAAACGGGTTAGCATAACTCTAGCCAAACAAAAACAAAAAAATCTAAATATTAGCTAGCATTTATGAGGCAGCAAACACGTTCCTCACACATTAGGAACATATTTTCTCCAACATTATAATGAAAAGGTTCCTCTCAGTCCCAAAACACACGTTTTCTGGAGACTTGTGGGAGGAGTGCCGATTACGTCGCCCACTGTATGCGCTTATGGTAGCCTGATTGCATCCAGAAATCCGCACACAATGCATCCCTGACCACCACCTGAAGTGATCAGCCAGATCTGAACACTATCACACCACAAAGCGACTTTTGTGCGTCTCGACCCGTCTTTTCAATGCGATCTTCGTATTCTGATAGCATAAATCACATGTAAGTGTTGAGCGTAGACACGTTACCCACCAGGCAGTATGTCATAGAGGAAAACTGAGCATAGATTTGTGACTCATGGTTTCACCATTAATTTACTGAAAACAGTGTGTCTCTAGCCTAAACCGTTCAAAAGATATGATCCATTTTACCAAAGCTATTGTATGTGTGTGTATATACAGTGCATTCGGAAAGTATTCAGACCCCTTTACTTTTTCCACATTTTGCACACCTTTACTTTTTCCACATTTTGTTAGGTTACAGCCTTATTCTAAAATTGATTAAATAGTTTTTTCCCCCTCATCAATCTACATACAATACGCCATAATGACAAAGCAAAAACAGGTTTTTAGAAATTTTTGCAAATGTATTACAAATAAAAAAAACGTATATGGCATTTACATAAGTATTCAGACCCTTTACTCAGTACTTCGTTTGAAGTCCATTTGGCACCGATTACAGCCTCCAATCTTCTTGGGTATGACGCTACAAGCTTGGCACACCTGTATTTGGTGGAGTTTCTCGTTTTCTTCTCTTCAGATCCTCTCAACCTCTGTCAGGATGGATGGGGAGCATCGCTGCACAGCTATTTTCAGGTTTCTCCAGAGATGTTAGATCGGTTTCAAGTCTAGGCTCTGGCTGGGCCACTCAAGGACATTGAGACTTGTCCCGAAGCCACTCCTGCGTTGTCTTGGCTGTGTGCTTAGGGTCATTGTCCTGTTGGAAGGTGAACCTTCGCCCCAGTCTGAGCGCTCTGGAGCAGGTTTTCATCAAGGTTCTGTCTGTACTTTGCTCTGTTCATCTTTCCCTCGATCCTGACTAGTCTCCAAGTCCCTGCCGCTGAACAACATCATGATGCATGATGCTGCCACCACCATGCTTCACCGTAGGGAGGGTGCCAGGTTTCCTCCAGACCTGACGCTTGGCATTCAGGCCAAAGAGTTCAATCTTTGTTTCATCAGACCAGAGAATCTTGTTTCTCAAAGTCTGGCCACTCTACCATAAAGGCATGATTGGTGGAGTGCTGCAGAGATGGTTGTCCTTCTGGGAGGTTCTCCCATATCCACAGAGGAACTCTGGAGCTCTGTCAGAGTGACCATCGGGTTCTTGGTCACCTCCCTGACCAAGGCCCTTCTCTCCCGATTGCCGGAAAACTTCAAGAACTTTGAAAGTTTCTTCAAGTGCAGATGCAAAAACCATCAAGCGCTATGATGAAACTGGCTGTCATGAGGACCGCCACAGGAAAGGACGAGTCAGAGTTACCTCTGCTGCAGAGGATAAGTTCATTCGAGTTACCAACCTCAGAAATTGCAGCCCAAATAAATGCTTCACAGAGTTCAAGTAACAGACACATCTCAACATCAACTGTTCAGAGGAGACTGCGTGAATCAGGCCTACATGGTCGAATTGCTGTAAAGAAACCACTACTAAAGGACACCAATAAGAAGAAAATACTTGCTTAGGCCAAGAAACATGAGCAATGGACATTAGAATGGTGGAAATCTGTCCTTTGGTCTGATGAGTCCAAATTTGAGATTTTTGGTTCCAACCGCCGTGTCTTTGTGAGACGCAGATTAGGTGAACGGATTATCTCCGCATGTGTGGTTCCCAACGTGAAGCTGGTGACACTGTCTGTGATTTATTTAGAATTCAAGGTACACTTAACCAGCATGGCTACCACAGCATTCTGCAGCGATACGCCATCCCATCTGGTTTGCGCTGAGTGGGACTATCATTTGTTTTTCAACAGGACAATGACCCAAAACACACCTCCAGGCTGTGTAAGGGCTATTTGACCAAGAAGGAGAGTGATGGAGTGCTCCATCAGATGAAAGAAATTCCACAAATTAACTTTTAAGAAGGCAGACCTGTTAATTGAAATGCATTCCAGGTGAATACCTCATGAAGCTGGTTGAGAGAATTCCAAGAGTATGCAAAGCTGTCATCAAGGCAAAGGGTGGCTACTTTGAAGAATATAAAATATATTTTGATGTGTTTAACACTTTTTTGGTTACTACATGATTCCATATGTGTTATTTCATGGTTTTGTTGTCTTCACTATTAATAGTAAAAATAAAGGAAAACCCTTGAATGAGTAGGTGTGTCCAAACTTTTGACTGGTACTGTATATATATATTTAATTATTCACACCCCTTGACTTTTTCCACATTTTGTTGTTTTACAGCCTGAATTTAAATTGGATTGTGTGGCCTACACACAATACCCCATAATGTGAAAGTGTAATCATGTTTTTTCGAAATGTTTACAAATTAATTAAGCTGAAATGTCTTGAGTCAATAAGTATTCAACCCCTTTGTTATGGCAAGCCTAAATAAGTTCAGAAGTAAAATGTGGTTAAGTCACATAAGTTGCATGGACTCACTCTGTGTGCTATAACAGTGTTTAACATGATTTTTTAACGTCTACCTCATCTCTGTACCCCACACATACAAATATCTGTAAGGTCCCTCAATTGAGCAGTGAATTTCAAACATAGATTCAACCACAAAGACCAGGGAGGTTTTCCAATGCCTCGCAAAGAAGGGCACCTATTGGTAGATAGGTAAAAATAAAAAAGAAGACAATATCCTTATAAGCATGGTGAAATTATTAATTACACTTTGGATGGTGTATCAATACACCCAGTCACTACAAAGATATAGGCATCCTACCTAACTCAGTTGCTGGAGAGGAAGGAAACCGCTCAGGGATATCACCATGAGGGCAATGGTAACTTTAAAACAGTTAGAGTTTAGTGGCTTTGATAGGAGAAAACTGAGGATGGATCATCAACATTGTAGTTGCTCCACAATACTAACCTAATTGACAGAGGGAAAAGAAGGAAGCCTGTACAGAATAAAATATTCCAAAACATGCATCCTGTTTGCAACAAGGCACAAAAGTAATTCTGCAAAAAGTTTGGCAAAGCAATTAACTTTTGGTCCTGAATACAAATTATTATGTTTGTGGCAAATCCAATACAACACATTACTGAGTACCACTCTCCATATTTTCAAGCATAGTGGTGGCTGCATCATGTTATGAGGATGCTTGTAATCATTAACGGATTTTAGGGGAGTTTTTCAGGATAAAAGAGAAACGGGATGGAGCTAAGCACAGGCAAAATCCTAGAGGAAAACCGGGTTCAGTCTGCTTTCCACCAGACACTGGAAGATGAATTCACCTTTCAGCAGGACAATAATGTAAAACACAAGGCCACAGCTAAACTCGAGTTGCTTACCAAGAAGACAGTGAATGTTCCTGAGTGGCCGAGTTACAGTTTTGACTTAAATCTACTTGAAAATCTATGGTAAGACATGAAATCGGTTGTCTAGCAATGATCAACAACCAATTTGACGGAGCTTGAAGAATTTTGAAAAGAATAATGGCAAATGTTGCACAATCCAGGTGTGGAAAGCTCTAGAGACTTACCAAGAAAGACTCACAGCTGTAATTGCTGCCAAGGGGGCTTCTACAAAGTATTTACTTAGGGGTGTGAATACTTATGTAAATTACATATTTCTGTATTTCATTTTCAATAAATTTTCAAAAATGTCTCAAAACATATTTTCACTTTGTCAGTATGGGGTATTGTGTGTAAATGGGTGACAAAAAATATATTTAATTAATTTTTAATTCACAACAACAAAATGTGGATTAAGTCAAGGGGCATTAATACTTTCTGAAGGTTAATTAGTGTGCTTGTCAGCAAGAACAGTAGGCTAGGCTACTGTTATTTCTCATACTTTTATTATTCCACATTATCCCAATTTTGCTGGTGGAACTACATATTTGAAATCTAATATACCTACTTGTGTCTTTAAAAATAAATTACACGAGGCTATTCATTTTTGTCGGCATTCATATAGGTATGCTACAGTTGAAGTTGGAAGTTTACATACACTTAGGTTGGAGTCATTATAACTTGTTTTTCAACCACTCCACAAATTTCTTGTTAACAAACTATAGTTTTGGCAAGTCAGTTAGGACATCTACTTTGTGCTTGACACAAGTAATTTTTCCAACAATTGTTTACAGACAGATTATTTCACTTATAATTCACTGTATCACAATTCCAGTGGGTCAGAAGTTTACATACACTAAGTTGACTGTGCCTTTAAACAGCTTGGAAAAGTCTTGGCTTTAAAAGCTTCTGATAGGCTAATTGACATAATTTCAGTCAATTGGAGGTGTACCTGTGGATGTATTTCAAGGCCTACCTTCAAACTCAGTGCCTCTTTGCTTGACATCATGGGAAAATCAAAAGAAATCAGCCAAGACCTCACCAAAAAATTGTAGACCTCCACAAGTCTGGTTCATTCTTGGGAGCAATTTCCAAATGCCTGAAGGTACCACGTTCATATGTACAAACAATAGTACGGAAGTATAAACACCATGGGACCACGCAGCCGTCATACCGCTCAAGAAGGAGACGCGTTCTGTCTCCTAGAGATGAATGTACTTTGGTGCAAAAAGTGCAAATCAATCCCAGAACAACAGCAAAGGACCTTGTGAAGATGCTGGAGGAAACAGGTACAAAAGTATCTATATCCACAGTAAAACAAGTCCTATATCGACATAACCTGAAAGGCCGCTCAGCAAGGAAGAAGCCACTGCTCCAAAACCGCCATAAAAAAGCCAGACTACGGTTTGCAACTGCACATGGGGACAAAGATCGTACTTTTTGGAGAAATGTCCTCTGGTCTGATGAAACAAAAATAGAACTGTTTGGCCATAATGACCATCGTTATGTTTGGAGGAAAAAGGGGGATGCTTGCAAGCCGAAGAACACCATCCCAACCGTGAAGCACGGGGGTGGCAGCATCATGCTGTGGGGGTGCTTTGCTGCAGGAGGGACTGGTGCACTTCACAAAATAGATGGCATCATGAGGAAGGAAGATTATGTGGATATATTGAAGCAATATCTCAAGACATCAGTCAGGAAGTTAAAGCTTGGTCGCAAATGGGTCTTCCAAATGGACAATGACCCCAAGCATACTTCCAAAGTTGTGGCAAAATGGCTTAAGGACAACAAAGTCAAGGTATTGGAGTGGCCATCACAAAGCCCTGACCTCAATCCTGTAGAAAATTTGTGGGCAGAACTGAAAAAGTGTGTGCTAGCAAGGAGGCCTACAAACCTGACTCAGTTACACCAGCTCTGTCAGGAAGAATGGGCCAAAATTCACCGAACTTATTGTGGGAAGCTTGTGGAAGGCTACCCGAAACGTTTGACCCACGTTAAACAATTTAAAGGCAATGCTACCAAATACTAATTGAGTGTATGTAAACTTCTGACCCACTGGGAATGTGATGAAAGAAATAAAAGCTGAAATAAATCATTCTCTCTACTATTATTCTGACATTTCACATTCTTAAAAAAAAAAGTGGTGATCCTAACTGACCTAAGACAGGGAATCTTTACTAGGATTAAATGTCAGGAATTGTGAAAAACTGAGTTTAAACGTATTTGGCTAAGGTGTATGTAAACTTCTGACTTCAACTGTATGTCCTATGTAGAATGTAAGTCATAAAAGCGAGATTAGGCTATATTGAAATGCCTTAATTATTTTGTAATTTTAGTAGTGTGCACAAGCAGCTAGGCAGAGATGGTAAGGGGACTCTCAATAGCTCATAAACTTAAAATATCTTGCCTATGTATTGTATGATGACAAGTGTCTGCAACTAATCAGCCTCAACCAGCATTATATTTATATTGAAGGTCGGGTGACCTGGAGAAATTAGTTGTCATAGCATTAACATTTTCAAACCCCCTGCACTTGGGAAACATACCCCCCTGCAGGACTTTCTTCAAGTCCTATTTTAAATGGATAGTTCATTCACACTCATTAAAGTTATTTTATATTTTTCTTTACAAAATTCTTAGTGCTATAATCTCTCAATGTTCATCACAAAGTACACAAGATTGATGCATTTAGCTGCTGAAATTAAATAGTTATTCTTCCGGGGGAGGATTCCCCCATACACCCCTACTACAGTTCCACCTCTGGCTTTGGGCTAAGCCTCCAATGTCGTCAAATCCTGGAAACGCCCCTGGAAATATGATAGAAATATTATAAACCATCTTCAGTTTCATTACATTGATTAATCATATATCTACACATTGTTTTAATGGTCAAATTCACCCACATGTAGCCTATAAAATACATCTATAAATTGCATAGACTACTACAGTATTCAGCGTTGCGCTTTTGGCAATTGTTATGGGAAAAAATGCTACCCCTCCCCTCAAGGTTACAGAGAATGAACTCTTATTGTGAAGCTCTCCTGCACTCTGGATATCACTGAATCACATAAATGCCTGGATGCTGGATTGTGTAGCTAAGTGGTTTCCAATCTGTGTTCCGCGGACCCCTGTGGTCCGTGGGGGTATTGCATGTGGTCTGTGAATTATTTTTGATGTTTTATTATAATTTTTTTTTTTATAATAACAGTTGGGACTATTAATGGTATTATAAACAATTTTATTTTACTTTTCACCATGAAAATTGTTTATATTAATAAAAATAGCCATTTAATGTGTTACATTCATTTCTAAAATGTACTACATTTGACTGCTTAGATATTTTGTGTAAAACAAAATCTACGAATTCACGAATGGTGGTCCCCGAGCTTTTGATGGAGATTTGGTGTTCCCGGCACCGAACATTTTGGGAACCGCTGGTGTAGCCTACATTTACAGCCATACGCGCAAGAGGAGTATACGTGAACCATATGCCAGGGGAGCAGACCTTTCTCTCCGCAGTAATTCGGTTATTTTTGCGTCTGTTGTGTTTTTACTAAAGTAGGCTACCTACATTTAAGTACATTTTACAGTAGCAAGAAGAATGGGCTGCGCAATATCAGGACTGGCACCGAAAACAGCTGGAGCGACGAAAACGGAGGATGATGTTGCGCATCTCAGCGAGGAGCAGATCCAGATGATTAAAGAGTCGTGGAAAGTTATCCAGGAGGACATTGCGAAAGTTGGAATTATTATGTTCGTCAGGTGAGATGTTTTGATTAATTTTGTTTGTTATTTGTAAGCAAGTTAGACATTTGCTTTATCAGACTGAATATTTTCATAATACACATATCTCTCATAAAAAGGCAAAACTCTTCAATACTATTGCTCTCAACTTGAAATAACAGAGATATATAAATTCCAGACATGATTGAATAAATTACCTAAAACAAAGACAGCTTGACCGCAGGGACTGCATGATACTGTAAGTGACTGATGCTACATTTATCATGATTCATGAAATGACTATAAATTAAAGAATATGCCAACTTAACATTATTCAAACTGTATGTTATTACACAGTAGTTATTTGTCTCTTTTTGTTAATTATAGCTACAATACATATGACTTTGTGGAAACAGTAGGATCAAAATGTAGGATCAACACATTATTATAACTGTTATATTGTATGAGAATTAATCCCCATCATCCTAATAAAATTATTTCACACCTTGTGCTGCCTTATTCAAAAAGCTCTCAAGGCATTTTAGGGAGAGACATTATTTGGTCCACAACAGAGAGGGCTCTCAGGGCTCAATGATTGAATGTGACTGTGACATAGTGCCTAACCTCTGCTCACAAGCAAGCAACTGTACATAGTCCTATTCTTTAACCGCTGCCACATCCTTCTGCCTTGTGGCTTGGAGACTTTCTTGAAGGGTGTTGCCTCCCTCCCTTCCATCATCCAACATCACATCTCAATATTGCATAATAAATATACAGCACCAGGCCCCTTCCCATCTATTGACAAACAAAGACATTCACAGCAAAGAAAATACATATCAACGAGCACAATGGCCAGCCTTTGAAATGTAATAGCTTGCAGAGTGAGAATAAAACATGAATAGTGGATGCACTATGCATTCCTAGTTTGGTGCTAATGTAGTCAGACATTATGGCTGTTAGTGGAGAGAGAGGGAGAGAGTGAGACCACCAGGCACAGCATAGCAGATGGCTTCAAGCCCAATCAGGGCAATGTGTCTCTGACCTGGAGGAGATCCAGAGAGTTGAAGAGATTGACCTTAGCGTGTTGGCCTGGGACCACTGTGGCCTTCCATGGTTTAGGGCCACCTCAAGGCCCCAAGAAACAAAGGCTGGACTCGGGTAAACAGCATGCACATTAAATTAGACCAGCAGCACTGTGAAGACTCCACCTTTTTGCCCTCCTCTGCTCTGTGTACTTCACTAGACCCAGAGCTTCTCACCAGGGAATGTATTTTCTGTAAGCTGACAGTGGAAATGTAATTGATGGACTGTAGAGATCATGCTGTGTGTGTGCTATGTGGGGAAATGTAAACACTTCAATCAGAGGCGAGCCTTTGAAATGCCTACTGCATATGAGAGAGCTGGAATTAGCATTCCACTTCCACTTAAAACCTCTCAAGTACAGGGAATACACTGTAGATCAAAGTGTCAAACTCTTTAACTGTTGTTTTCTGTAGCTGTGTGTGGGAGAAACAGAGACAAGGGTCATTTCCCCTGTGCTCTCACATCAGTGAGGTGTGGTATGAATTACATTGTGACTATAAAGTGAAAATGACATTAACAATGAAGAATACGTCCTCTAACAACTTTCCCCGAAATGGGGCTCATCTCGAAATCCACTTATCTTGACATCCGTCTCACCTAGCCACAGAATTCTGATATAATTTATTCAGGTCTGCATTCAGTGCAGCATATCTCCAGAAAATTATGTTTTTTTTCTTTAGCTTTTATTACTTTGCTTCCCTGTTCATTCTCTGTCATTCACTGTTATTCTTGAAAGGTTCTAGTAATTGTGGCATAATTCCATATAATGAATGTGTCAACTGATACGTATCATTTACCAGTTTTATTGTCAGCCAAAATGCATAAAAAAGCATTAATTGTTCATACAAGGAGAACAGTCCCCTGTAGCTCAGTTGGTAGAGCATGGCGCTTGCAACGCCAGGGTTGTGGGTTCGTTTCCCACGGGGGGCCAGTATGAAAAATGTATGCACTCGCTAACTGTAAGTCGCTCTGGATAAGAGCGTCTGCTAAAATAAATAAAAAACATAGCAACCATTCAGAGACCCATTTTGAAATCACCTCACACACCTCTTCTCTGCTCCTATTAATTTATTTCAAGGGCCTTGTGTTTATGACAGTGGCAATGGACTGAGATACAACTGTGAGTGTAAATACGTTTTTTTTCTCTCACACACAGAGAGAGGCAGTAAGAGGTGCAAATCAAAGTGTATGTGCAAAGCTCTTATACCCCACTTCATAACATGATGGACCAGAGGGATGAGGGAAAACACAAAAAATGGGAGGAGATGATTGGTTGATTACTATGAACATAATTAGCATTATAAAGCCAAGTAATTCATGCATGGTTCCTATAGATCCTACAAAGCTTTAATGGTATGTACCGTAAATGGTGATGTATACATTATGGAACTCACAGCAAAATCGAATCAAATCAATTTTTATTTGTCACATGCACCGAATACAACAGGTGTAGTAGACCTTACAGTGAAAGGCTTACTTACAAGCCCTTAACCAACAATGCAGTTTTAAGAAGAGAAAAAGTGTGAAGAAAGTATTTACTAAATAAACTGAAGTAAAAAATAAAAAAAATAGAAAAATAAGAAAATAGAAGAAAATAGAAAAATAACTAATAATTAAAGAGCAACAATAAAATAACAGTAACGAGGCTATATACAGGGGGTACCGGTACAGAGTCAATGTGCGGGGGCACAGGTTAGTCAAGGTAATTAAGGTAATATTTACATGTAGGTAGAGGTAAAGTGACTATCATTTACATTACATTTTAGTCATTTAGCAGACGCTCTTAGCCAGCGCGACTTACAGTTAGTGAGTGCATACATTCTTTTTTTATTTTTCATACTGGCCCCCTGTGGGAATCGAACCCACAACCCTGGCGTTGCAAACGCCATGCTCTACCAATTGAGCTACATCCCTGCCGGCCATTCCCTCCCCTACCCTGGACGACGCTGGGCCAATTGTGCGCCGCCCCATGGGTCTCCCGGTCGCAGCCGGCTACGACAGAGCCTGGATTTGAACCAGGATCTCTAGTGGCACAGTCTTAGACCACTGCACCACTCGGGAGACTATGAATAGATAATAAACAGAGAGTAGCAGCAGCGTAAAAATGCAAATAGTCCGGGTAGCCATTTGGTTAGCTGTTCAGGAGTCTTATGGCTTGGGGGCAGAAGCTGTTAAGAAGCCTTTTGGACCTAAACTTGGTGCTCCGGTATCGCTTGCCATGCGGTAGCAGAGAGAACACTCTATGACTAGGGTGGCTGGAATCTTTTGCAATTTTTAGGGCCTTCCTCTGACACCGCCTGGTATAGAGGTCCTGTATGGCAGGAAGCTTGGCCCCAGTGATGTACTGGGCCGTACACACTACCCTCTGTAGCGCCTTGCGGTCGGAGGCCGAACAGTTGCCATACCAGGCGGTGATGCAACCAGTCAGCATACTCTCAGTGGTGCAGTTATATAACTTTTTGAGGATCTGAGGACCCATGCCAAATGTCTCCTGAGGGGGAATAGGCGTTGTTGTGCCCTCTTCACAACTGTCTTGGTGTATTTGGACCATGACAGTTCGTTTGTGATGTGGACACCAAGGAACTTGAAGCTCTTAACCTACTCCACTACAGCCCCGTCGATGAGAATGGGTGCGTACTCGGCCCTCCTTTTCCTGTAGTCCACAATCATCTATTTTGTCTTGATCATGTTGAGGGAGAGGTTGTTATCCTGGCACCACACTGCCAGGTCTCTGACTTCCTCCCTATAGTCTGTCTCATCGTTGTTGGTGATCAGGCCTACCAAATCAAATCAAATCAAATCAAATTTTATTGGCCACATGCGCCGAATACAACAGGTGCAGACATTACAGTGAAATGCTTACTTACAGCCCTTAACCAACAGTGCATTTATTTTTAATAAAAAAGTAAAATAAAACAACAACTAAAAAGTGTTGAGAAAAAAAGAGCAGAAGTAAAATAAAAGAACAGTAGGGAGGGGGGTACCGGTGCAGAGTCAATGTGCGGGGGGCACCGGCTAGTTGAGGTAGTTGAAGTAATATGTACATGTGGGTAGAGTTAAAGTGACTATGCATAAATAATTAACAGAGTAGCAGCAGCGTAAAAAATGGGGTGGGGGGGGGCAGTGCAAATAGTCCGGGTAGCCATGATTAGCTGTTCAGGAGTCTTATGGCTTGGGGGTAGAAGCTGTTGAGAAGTCTTTTGGACCTAGACTTGGCACTCCGGTACCGCTTGCCGTGCGGTAGCAGAGAGAACAGTCTATGACTAGGGTGGCTGGAGTCTTTGACAATTTTGAGGGCCTTCCTCTGACACCGCCTGGTATAGAGGTCCTGGATGGCAGGATGCTTTGCCCCAGTGATCTACCAGGCGGTGATGCAACCAGTCAGGATGCTCTCGATGGTGCAGCTGTAGAATTTTTTGAGGATCTAAGGACCCATGCCAAATCTTGTCAGTCTCCTGGGGGGGAATAGGCTTTGTCGTGCCCTCTTCACGACTGTCTTGGTGTGTTTGGACCATGATAGTTTGTTGGTGATGTGTTGTTACCTACCCTTACCACCTGGGGGCGGCCTGTCAGGAAGTCCAGGATCTTAGCTTAGTGATGAGCTTTGAGGGCATGATGTTGTTGAACGCTGAGCTGTAGTCAATGAATAGCATTCTTACATAGGTGTTCCTTTCATCCAGGTGGGAAAGGGCAGTGTGGAGTGCAATAGAGATTGGGTCACTTATGGATCTGTTGGGGTGGTATGGAAATTGGAGTGGGTCTAGGGTTTCTGGAATAATGGCATTGATGTGAGCTATGACCAGCCTTTCAAAGCACTTCATGGCTACATACGTGAGTGCTATGGGTCGGTAGTCATTTAGGCAGGTTACCTTGGTGTTCTTGGGCACAGGGACTATGGTGGTCTGTTTGAAAATGTATGCACTCACTAACTGTAAGTCGCTCTGGATAAGAGCGTCTGCTAAATGACTAAAATATAAATGTAAATTGTAAATGTTTGAAACATGTTGGTATTACAGACTCGGTCAGGGACAGGTTGAAAATGTCAGTGAAGACACTTGCCAGTTTTTCAGCGCATGCTCGGAGTACACATCCTGGTCATCCGTATGGCCCTGCGGCCTTCTGAATGTTGACCTGTTTAAAGGTCTTACTCACATCGGCTACGGAGAGCGTGATCACACAGTCATCTGGAACAGCTGATGCTCTCATGCATGCTTCAGTGTTACTTGCCTCGAAGCGCGCATAGAAGTAATTTAGCTCATCTGGTAGGCTCGTGTCACTGGGCAGCTCGCGGCTGTGCTTCCTTTTGTAGTCCGTAATAGTTTGCCAGTCCTGCCATATCCGACGAGAATCAGAGCCGGTGTAGTAGGTTTCAGTTTTACTCCTATATTGACGCTTTGCCTGTTTGATGGTTCGTCAGAGGGCATAGCAGGATTTCTTATAAGGGTCCGGGTTAGAGTCCCGCTCCTTGAAAGCGGCAGCTCTACCCTTTAGCTCAGTGCAAATGTTGCCTGTAATCCATGGCTTCTGGATGGGGTATGTACATACGGTCACTGTAGGGACAACGTCATCGATGCACTTATTGATGAAGCCAGTGACTGATGTTGTGTACTCCTCAATGCCATTGGAAGAATCCCGGAACATATTCCAGTCTGTGCTAGCAAAACAGTCCTGTAGCTTAGCATCTGCATCATCTGACCACTTAAGTATTGAGCGAGTCACTGGTACTTCCTGCTTTAGTTTTTGCTTGTAAGCAGGAATCAGGAGGATAGAGTTATAGTCAGATTTGCCAAATGGAGGGCAAGTGAGAGCTTTGTACGCATCTCTGTGTGTTGAGTAAAGGTGGTCTAGAGTTAGAAATGAGGTAAAACGGATTTAAGTTTCCCTGCATTAAAGTCCCCGGCCACTAGGAGTGCCGCCTCTGGATGAGCATTTTCTCGTTTGCTTATGGCCTTATACAGCTCGTTTAGTGCAGTCTTAGTGCCAGCATCGGTTTGTGGTGGTAAATAGACAGCTACGAAAAATATAGATACAGTGATCCCTCGCCACTTCGCGGTTCACTTATCGCGGATTCGCTATTTCGCGGATTTTCATAATGCATTTTTTTTTTTTTGGTGCATTGTGCTCTGCATTCTGATTCGCTAAAAACTCACTCCCGCTTCTTGTATCAAAACATGCTACGAATTGTGCTATCATTTTGTCGTCTCGTGCAGTTATGTGTACGTACATAAAACAGCTTGGCAAATTTACATTAAGTTGGCCAAATTATCTTGTAATTTCGAACATCTCCTAAACCCATAATGTCGACGAAACGGCCTGGACCGACAAAAGCACCTGCGGATGGGCCCAAACGGCGGAAGATGCTACCTATCTCAGATAAAGTTAAACTTCTGGACATGCTAAGGGAAGGTAAATGACAAAGCCACAAAGCGACGATGAAAGAGAAGAGGGAGAAGAGGACACGAGAGATGAGGAGGAAGGACTAACGCTTGGTCGCTTAGCAACCATGGTGCGAATGGCCACTGAACTTAAGCGAGTAGCTGAGGAATGGGACCCTTTGATGAGCCGTTCATTACAGTTCTCCAACGTAATCGATGGTGGCATGTCGGTGTGCAAGGATCTTTTTGCAAAGAAGAAAAAAGAGCGACAACAGCTGCCTATCACTATGTTCTTCTCCCGAACAAACACACCTGCACCGCGGGCTTCAGAAGAAGAGAACACTGCAGAGCGCAGTCAGGATGCAGCGGCCCAGTCTGAAGAGCAGTGAAACGGCCTACACGTGAGTCACTGTATTTGTATACATGTAATAGTTGCTAATTGTAAAAAAAAAAAGTTTTCTATTTCGCGGATTTCACTTATCGCGGGTCATTTTCGGAACGTAACCCCCGCGATAAACGAGGGATTACTGTAAATGATGTGGTCTACAGCTTATCATGAGATACTCTACCTCAAGCGAGCAAAACCTCGAGACTTCCTTGATATTAGATTTCGTGCACCAGCTGTTATTGACAAATAGACACAGACCGCCACCCCTTTTCTTACTGGAGGCAGCTGTTCTATCTTGCGATGCACGGAAAACCCAGCCAGCTGTATGTTATACATGTCGTCGTTCAGCCACGACTCGGTGAAACATAAGATATTAACAGTTTTTAAAGTCCCGTTGGTAGGATAGTCTTGATCGGAGCTCATCCAGTTTATTATCCAATGATTGCACGTTGGCTAATAGGACTAATGGTAGAGGCGGGTTACCCACTCGCCATAATTTGCAAATAAATTCATAAAAAATCCTACAATGTGATTTTCTGGATTTTCTTTTCTCAATTTGTCTGTCATAGTTGACGTATACCTATGATGAAAATTACAGGCCTCTCTCATCTTTTTAAGTGGGAGAACTTGCACAATTGGTGGCTGACTAAATACTTTTTTCCCCCACTGTATTTCCCACCATAAAGCATGGAGGAGGAGGTGTTATGGTGTGGGGGTGCTTTGCTGGTGACATTGTCTGTGATTTATTTAGAATTCAAGGTACACTTAACCAGCATGGCTACCACAGCATTCTGCAGCGATACTCCATCCCATCTGGTTTGGGCTTAGTGGGACTGTCATTTGTTTTTCAACAAGACAGTGACCCAACACACCTCCAGGCTGTGTAAGGGCTATTTTACCAAGAAGGAGAGTGATAGAGTGCTGCATCAGATGACCTGGCCTCCACAATCCCCCGACCTCAACCAAAGTGAGATGGTTTGGGATGAGTCGGACCACAGAGTGAAGGAAAAGCAGCCAACAAGTGCTCAGCATATGTGGGAACTCCTTGTTAAAAGTAAATCTCTTGTTAAAGGTCCAATGCAGCCATTTGTATTTCAATATAAAAACATTCCTGGGTAACAATTAAGTACCTTACTGTGATTGTTTTCAATTAAGATGGTCAAGAATAAACAAAAATAGCTTCTTAGCAAAGAGCAATTTCTCAAGCAAGAATTTTGATAGGACTGTCTGGGAGTGGGGAGGTGGAAACTGAAAACTAGCTGTCAGGCAGAGAATTTTGGAACTTTCTTTCTTATTGGTCTATTAACTACTTTACCAGGCAGGCCAAAACTCCAAATCAGGCTGTCTTTTCAAACAGCTCTTACACTAAAAGGACATTATCATCATTTTCACAATTTGATAGCATTATTCCAACCTCATAGTGTGGAAATATATATAAAACAGGAAAATCACTTTTTTGACTGCACACGTAAAAAATGAATCAGGCCCAAAGTGCATAAAATAAAATAGAAAAATAGTTAAAAAAACTAAAACAATATATCGAACCATATCATGAAAGCAACAATCAAAGTCTAGGAGGAAGGCCATAATGGTAGGCCAGCCGGTAGAGATGAGTCTTATGGGCTGCTTTAAAAGCCCCAACAGTCTGAACAGTCAGAGATTGTCAGGAAGGGAATTCCATTGGCGTGGTGCGTGGGAGGAAAAGACACACACACACACACACACACAAAAACACACAGTCTGACATTAATGGGTCTGAAAGGGCAGGGGAACTCTTACAGCCAGGGCCGGATCACCACATCTGGGGACCGAATATTTCCAGTTTTAAAGCTAATTTCCTGCAATTCTACACATTTTGCCATGGATTATGACATCTGAAAGGGCAGGGGAACTCAATACAGGCAGCTATATGAGGAGAAGGAGAAGAGGGTGTACACCCCCTGGCACTGAGTGTTTTGATGCTGTGATTGCAGCCCATAGTAGGCCTAAAGCCAGCAGGAAAGGACTGAGGGTCAGAGAGCAGCCAGGACTGATAACTGCAAGGGGCTCAATGGCACAATCAGATCTCATGGAGATTTCCTTAAAATCACTGCGTGGATGAGATGTGATGAATTTTAATGCCACCTTGAAGATATTTACAAGGATAGAGACAGGCATGTCTTAACTAAAGGACAATATCAACACTTACATTATAAAAAAACTACTAAACCTTATTTACTGTCTTGCTTGAACTCTGTTACGTAGTCAGTGGGAGAATTTGGAGGACGGAGGGATGTTTGTGTGTGGGCATGAATATGTCAGTTTGGTTAAGGCAGGCTTAATGAAGCTGGCTCTTGTAGGCTCATGAATGTATGTTGTCTTGGTAACAGGTTATTTGAGACCCATCCAGAATGCAAGGATGTATTCTTTCTGTTTCGAGACGTGGAGGACCTTGAGATGTTACGGACCAGCCGGGAGCTGAGGTCACATGGCCTACGGTCAGTCGCCACACCACAACATTGTATAACTCTCAAGTTCCATACACTACAGCCAGTGTACCACAGAGGGAGTGGTATTGTTACATATCAAATGTCAAAATCTCACAATATAACATCACTGATTACATTGAAACAAAATAATTTATGACATACTGTAGAGATTCAGTTTCCTATTTCAAAGATCTGTCAACACTGTTTGTGTCCCTATATGAGATTATCAATATCTGGCTAGCTATTATCAGGTCTGCTGCCAGTGAAGAACACACTTATCCTCCATATGCAGCTCCCAATGGTGTGTTTTCTCCATTCTGTTGTGTCACTGGGGTATGCTGAGCCTCTTAGTTTTTGTCCCCACAAAAGGCCAATAAACCTAATTAAGCCTGAGGACTCCATTTAATCAAAGGTATGAAGGCTGCAGTGGCATTACAGGAGACAGACAGGGATATGTACACTACATGTCCACACGGCCCTTTCACGCTTATACTCCCAGGAAAAGGCCAAGTGCCCCTCAAATCACTTGCACGGACATTAGTGCAAAATGTCCTCACCAGCCCCCAGGCTGAGAGGGAGTACACCCATTTAACCTTTTGTGCATATTTATCTTTCTGCATAAACTCTCCCTAACACGCACTTTGCCGTAAAAGACAGGCCTATGGGCAACAACGAAACCATGTTCAGTTTCAGGGTTTAATGTTGGAGAACAATTGTTGAAAGAGAGGATAAAAGATTACTAAATTAATTGGATCACATTAAGTGCCTGCTGTATGATCAAATGATGGTGATAGTCCAAGGTGTGCTTGTGGGTCTTAATCACCAGGCCTGTGTTCCTTTCCTCTCAGAGTAATGTCCTTCATTGAGAAAAGTGTGGCCAGACTGGACCAGCTGGAGAGACTAGAGGTTCTTGCTGTGGAGCTGGGGAAGAGCCACTACCGCTACAACGCCCCACCCAAATACTACAGCGTAAGACACACACTGACTATGCATCTTAAGCAAAGTTACAGTTAGCATTTTTTTAAATATTGGATTAGATGTATACTTTCCTATTCTGATGTGATTTATTTCCAGTATGTAGGAGCAGAATTCATCTGTGCTGTTCAACCCATTCTCAAAGAGAGATGGACCCCTGAGCTTGAGGAGGCATGGAAGGTACCGATTTCAATCATTCACGTGCTCTTCCAGGAATTCACCCAGTATAAATGTTTAGCAGAATGGGTTGAATTGGTATAATCATGTGTGTAACCAATTATTGTCCAAGAGGTCCCTTGTCTTTCTGCTGTGTCAGAGTTTTCCACATCCAATGACTCATGTCAAGATGGAAATTATCACCAGTGGAAGAGAGAGTTTGACTGACATGAACATTTTAATTTCATTGAACCAGAAATGACCATATTGTGAAACCAGTGGATGGCTCTGTCACATCATGTAACCCTGCTTTACCTAACTAACAAAGTATTATATCACTCTTATTAAATAAAGTTTCAGTGCAATGTAAAACTGCGCTGTATGTGCTACTGTGTATGATGTGAATAATGTTTTGTTTTTTTGATAGTCACTGTGTTTTCTAATTGGTTTTATGGATCACAGGACTCCATAAAAACAATGTCTAATTTTACTGAGTGAACTAGCCTGGCTCCTATAAATAAGATGAAATGAGTGAATGAAGCTCTGCATTTTACCATACATGTTCCAATGAAACTGTCTGTACTGGCCTCTAGTGGATTCATGGAGAACTACCCTTAACTCCAACCTTGTGCTCGCCAAACCGTAAATGAGTTACCTCTGGTTCGTTCAGCCATTCCTATGGGGGAAATGAATGGGGAAGAATGGGGTTTGGGATAAACGCCAAAAATAAGGTCTGATGTTAACGCAGGAGATCTTATATGTTTTGATCTATGAGAAAATATCAGTCAGTTAACATGACCGTTATGAATTATGAAGACTTTATGTGCTTGTTATGAATACATAAATGCTTAAAAATTCACAAAAAGTGACGTTAGCTGATGAAGATGATCTCATAGAACAAAATGTATAAGATCTCCATAAGCCTGTGTACACCACAGACCTTATTTTCGGTGTTTATCCCATTCAAACCCATTCATTTCCCCATAGGCTTTGACCAAGCCATGGCGGAGTTAGTGCCTACATAAAGACACCATTACTATTGCTCTCTATTCCTTGGGTCAAGTCCTGTGGTCAGGATAAACTCCTGGCCCTACTCATATACAGTGGGGAGAACAAGTATTTGATACACTGTCGATTTTGCAGGTTTTCCTACTTACAAAGCATGTAGAGGTCTGTAATTTATATCATAGGTACACTTCAACTGTGAGAGACGGAATCTAAAACAAAAATCCAGAAAATCACATTGTATGATTTTTAAGTAATTAATTTGCATTTTATTGCATGACATAAGTATTTGATCACCTACCAACCAGTAAGAATTCCGGCTCTCACAGACCTGTTAGTTTTTCTTTAAGAAACCCTCCTGTTCTCCACTCATTACCTGTATTAACTGCACCTGTTTGAATTCGTTACCTGTATAAAAGACACCTGTCCACACACTCAATCAAACAGACTCCAACCTCTCCACAATGGCCAAGACCAGAGAGGTGTGTAAGGACATCAGGGATAAAATTGTAGACCTGCACAAGGCTGGGATAGGCTACAAGACAATAGGCAAGCAGCTTGGTGAGAAGGCAACAACTGTTGGTGCAATTATTAGAAAATGGAAGAAGTTCAAGATGACGGTCAATCACCCTCGGTCTGGGGCTCCATGCAAGATCTCACCTCGTGGGGCATCAATGATCATGAGGAAGGTGAGGGATCAGCCCAGAACTACACGGCAGGACCTGATCAATGACCTGAAGAGAGCTGGGACCACAGTCTCAAAGAAAACCATTAGTAACACACTACGCCATCATGGATTAAAATCCTGCAGCGCATGCAAGGTCCCCCTGCTCTTGCCAGCGCATGTCCAGGCCCGTCTGAAGTTTGCCAATGACCATCTGGATGATCCAGAGGAGGAATGGGAGAAGGTCATGTGGTCTGATGAGACAAAAATATAGCTTTTTGGTCTAAACTCCACTCGCCGTGTTTGGAGGAAGAAGAAGGATGAGTACAACCCCAAGAACACCATCCCAACCGGGAAGCATGGAGGTGGAAACATCATTCTTTGGGGATGCTTTTCTGCAAAGGGGACAGGACAACTGCACCGTATTGAGGGGAGGATGGATGGGGCCATGTATCGCGAGATCTTGGCCAACAACCTCCTTCCCTCAGTAAGAGCATTGAAGATGGGTCGTGGCTGGGTCTTCCAGCATGACAACGACCCAAAACACACAGCCAGGGCAACTAAGGAGTGGCTCCGTAAGAAGCATCTCAAGGTCCTGGAGTGGCCTAGCCAGTCTCCAGACCTGAACCCAATAGAAAATCTTTGGGGGGAGCTGAAAGTCCGTATTGCCCAGCGACAGCCCCGAAACCTGAAGGATCTGGAGAAGGTCTGTATGGAGGAGTGGGCCAAAAAATACCTGCTGCATTGTGTGCAAACCTGGTCAAGACCTACAGGAAACGTATGATCTCTGTAATTGCAAACAAAGGTTTCTGTACCAAATATGAAGTTATGCTTTTCTGATGTATCAAATACTTATGTCATGCAATAAAATGCAAATTAATTACTTAAAAATCATACAATGTGATTTTCTGGATTTTTGTTTTAGATTCCGTCTCTCACAGTTGAAGTGTACCTATGATATAAATTACAGACCTCTACATGCTTTGTAAGTAGGAAAACCTGCAAAATCGGCAGTGTATCAAATACTTGTTCTCCCCACTGTATGTGGAGTGAGCAGTTTTTCCTGACCAGGAACATTTCTGGCTCTACTTATTTCCTAGTATAATGTGTCTCTGAACTCCCCTAACCCTAACCCTAGACTGGTAATACATTGTACTTACAGCTGTAGCGCTAACCATAACCCTAGAATAGTTATAGATTGTGCTTACAGCTCTAGCGCTGACCATAACCCTAGACTGGTAATACATTAAGACAGGGATCATTAACTAGATTCAGCCACTGGACAATATTTTCTTGAGCAGATGGTCAAGGGGCTGGAACATAATTACAAATAATTTGTAGACTGCAAAGTTTCAAGTTTTTATTGTCACGTGCACAAGTACAGTGAAATGTCTTTCTTGCAACCTCTTTCCCAACAATGCAACTGAACAACAACAAAACATGCTCATTGCAAACCTTCCTTAAATTTGTATACGATCACATACAGTGCCTTCAGAAAGTATTCATACCCCTTTACTTTTTTCACATTGTTGTGTTACAGCTTAAATTCAAAATTGATTAAATAAATAAAACATCTCACCCATCTACACACAATATCCCATAATGACAAATTGAAAACATGTTTTTAGAAAATGTATTGAAATTTAAATACAGAAATATATAATTTACTTGTTGAATCAACTTTGGCAACGATTACAGCTGTGAGTCTTTCTGGGTAAGTCTATAAGTGCTTTCCACACCTGGATTGTGCAACATTTGCCCATTATTATTTTCTAAATTCTTCAAGCTCTGTCAAATTGGTTGTTGATCATTGCTAGACAACCATTTTCAGATCTTGCCATAGATTTTCAAGTAGATTTTGGTCAAAACTGTAACTCGGCCACTGAGGAACATTCACTGTATTCTTGGTAAGCAACTCAAGTGTAGATTTGGCCTTGTATTTTAGGTTATTGTCCTGCTGAAAGGTGAATCCATCTCCCAGTGTCTGGTGGAAAGCAGACTGAACCCAGTTTTCCTCTAGGATTATGCCTGTGCTTAGTTCCATTGTTTATTTTTTATCCTGAAAAACTCCCCAGTCCTTAACGATTACAAGCATACCCATAGCACGATGCAGCCACCACTATGTTTGAAAATATGTAGATTGATACTCAGTAATGTGTTGTATTGGATTTGCCCCAAACATAACACTTTGTATTCAGGCCAAAAAGTGAATTGCTTTGCCACATTTTTTGCAGAATTACTTTAGTGCCTTGTTGCAAACAGGATGCATGTTTTGGAATATTTTATTCTGTACAGGCTTCCTTCTTTTCCCTCTGTCAATTAGGTTAGTATTGTGGAGCAACTACAATGTTGATGATCCATCCTCAGTTTTCTCCTATCAAAGCCACTAAACTCTAACTGTTTTAAAGTTACCATTGCCCTCATGGTGATATCCCTGAGCGGTTTCCTTCCTCTCCAGCAACTGAGTTAGGTAGGATGCCTATATCTTTGTAGTGACTGGGTGTATTGATACACCATCCAAAGTGTAATTAATAATTTCACCATGCTTATAAGGATATTGTCTTCTTTTTTATTTTTACCTATCTACCAATAGGTGCCCTTCTTTGTGAGGCATTGGAAAACCTCCCTGGTCTTTGTGGTTGAAATTCAGTGCTCGACTGAGGGACCTTACAGATAATTGTATGTGTGGGGTACAAAGATGAGGTAGTCAATAAAAAATATTTTTAAACACTATTATTGCACACAGAGTGAGTCATTGCAACTTGTGACTTGCTAAGCACATTTTTACTCCTGAACTTGCCATATGAAAGGGATGGAATACTTATTGACTCATGACATTTCAGCTTTTCATTTATTATGAACTTGCAAAAAAAAAAAAAAAACATAATTCCACTTTGACATTATGGGGTATTGTTTGTAGGCCAGTGACAGAAACATCTCAGTTTAATCCATTTTAAATTCAGGCTGTAACACAACAAAATGTGGAAAAAGTCAAGGGGTTGTATGACTACTTTCTGAAGGCACTGAGGCAGTGAGGGAAAAAAAGTATTTGATCCCCTGCTGATTTTGTACATTTGCCCACTGACAAAGAAATGATCAGTCTATAATTTTAATGGTAGGTTTATTTGAACAGTGAGAGACAGAATAACAACAAAAAAATCCAGAAAAACGCATGTCAAAAATGTTATAAATTGATTTGCATTTTAATTAGGGAAATAAGTATTTGACCCCCTCTCAATCAGAAAGATTTCTGGCTTCCAGGTGTCTTTTATACAGGTAACGAGCTGAGATTAGGAGCACACTCTTAAAGGGAGTGCTCCTAATCTCAGCTTGTTACCTGTATAAAAGACACCTGTCCACAGAAGCAATCAATCAATCAGATTCCAAACTCTCCACCATGGCCAAGACCAAAGAGCTCTCCAAGGATGTCAGTGACAAGATTGTAGACCTACACAAGGCTGGAATGGGCTACAAGACCATCGCCAAGCAGCTTGGTGAGAAGGTGACAACAGTTGGTGTGATTATTCGCAAATGGAAGAAACACAAAATAAATGTTAATCTCCCTCGGCCTGGGGCTCCATGCAAGATCTCACCTCGTGGAGTTGCAATGATCATGAGAACGGTGAGGAATCAGCCCAGAACTACACGGGAGGATCTTGTCAATGATCTCAAGGCAGCTGGGACCATAGTCACCAAGAAAACAATTGGTAACACACTACGCCGTGAAGGACTGAAATCCTGCAGCGCCCGCAAGGTCCCCCTTCTCAAGAAAGCACATATACAGGCCCGTCTGAAGTTTGCCAATGAACATCTGAATGATTCAGAGGAGAACTGGGTGAAAGTGTTGTGGTCAGATGAGACCAAAATCGAGCTCTTTGGCATCAACTCAACTCACCGTGTTTGGAGGAGGAGGAATGCTGCCTATGACCCCAAGAACACCATCCCCACCGTCAAACATAGAGGTGGAAACATTATGCTTTGGGGGTGTTTTTCTGCTAAGGGGACATGACAACTTCACCGACGATGGACGGGGCCATGTACCGTCAAATCTTGGGTGAGAACCTCCTTCCCTCAGTCAGGGTATTGAAAATGGGTCGTGGATGGGTATTCCAGCATGACAATGACCCAAAACACACGGCCAAGGCAACAAAGGAATGGCTCAAGAAGAGGCACATTAAGGTCCTGGAGTGGCCTAGCCATAGAAAATCTGTGGAGGGAGCTGAAGGTTCGAGTTGCCAAACATCAGCCTCGAAACCTTAATGACTTGGAGAAGATCTGCAAAGAGGAGTGGGACAAAATCCCTCCTGAGATGTGTGCAAACCTGGTGGGCAACTACAAGAAACGTCTGTCCTCTGTGATTGCCAACAACGGTTTTGCCACCAAGTACTAAGTCATGTTTTGCATAGGGGTCAAATACTTATTTCCCTCATTAAAATGCAAATCAATTTATAACATTTTTGACATGCGTTTTTCTGGATTGCTTTGTTGTTATTCTGTCTCTCACTGTTCAAATAAACCTACCATTAAAATTATAGACTGATCGTGTCTTTGTCAGTGGGCAAACGTATAAAATCAGCAGGGGATCTCTCTATTATGCATGGAATACTTTGGAACAGATTTCCAAATTTAAAATAACTTGGAGCTGATTTGCTGGTGTTTTAACACTATGTCCAACAATTAAACAAATATTTGATCCCAAATAAAATCACCAGTTGGGGGAACCTTGCATTCAGACACCTTGATTTGAATTCTACATTATTATAGGTATCTTCATAATTCCTTGTGTATTGCGTTTCTGAACCAGACCCTGTTCCTGTACCTGACCAGGCTTATGAAGCAGGGCTACCAGGAGGAGACGAGCAGACATCACCATGTGGCAGCATCCCCCAAGGAGAGGCCAGAGAAGAGGAGCACAGCCTTATAAGAGGCCTGGCTTTGGCTGGCCTCCACCCAGAGACTGTTGAGCATAGCACAGAAATGTGTCACGTGACTTTTAGCTGTGTATATACTGTATTTATCACTTAGTATTAATTTTCTACATAGCTCATGTTATCAGGCATAAAGTGTTATCAGCCTACAATGTAAAGTTGAACGGCTTATTCCATCTCATTTTATTGAAAAATCTATTTCAACAAATCACTGCAAGATCGTTATTTATTCCAACAAAGCACTTTATTTCTCAACTTATATCCTTAATGATAATTATCATGGTTAGGTTTACACCCAGTAAGGAAAAACTTACTGGGTGTTTAAAAAAAATTAATACATTGATCATGTACAAGGTTCTCTCTGTATCCAAAAATCAAATAAGCCTTTCAGCCACCAGTAAATATACTACATCATTAAGAAGTTTCTAAATATTTTCCCCTTACTCAATCTTCTATCATATGGCACATACATCCTACAAATTAAGAGGCTGAAGCTTTTCTACATTTGAATTGATGATACAACACAAAACAGTAAACATTTCCAAGTACAATAGAGGACTTACGATATGTCAGCTAACTTTTGGATCCTCTCTTTACAGCTTAGCTTACAACTATGAATTGACCACCTTCATTAAGTGGACACATGAGTGACGACAAACAAATTGGACCAATAAGGAACTCACCCATTTAATCATTTCTTCTTAAGTAAATAATAATTATTTTTTATTCTGTATTTCACTTTCCGTTTACGAATGGCCAAATAAGAACATTCAGCCCCAACCCTAACAAATGTATGTGGCAGCTTCACTCATAGTATTGTTATACAGTTCATCATCTATCCATAAATGGTTAAGACAAGGTCCAGTGGAAATGTAATCAAATGGATGCATGCGAACTGAACTGAGGGTTAACTCAAACATAAATAGGGACAAGGACTAGTAGTTAACAGGCTCCATCCTTTCCGTGACTACATAAACAATGCAGCTCTCTGTGTAACTTGGATCCAGACCAGATATGTTGATATGGGGGTGTGGGATGTGTGTGTGGGGGGGGGGGGGTTGATCTAAAAGGCAGCTCACTTGTAGTATCCTCTCTGAGTGTTAAACTCCTCAGCTTTCCCTTCCTCCCTATAGACCCATGCCATTCACTGGCCAGGGATGAGACATTGCTGTGTAAACAATGGCATGATGTCAAAGCAGTCCCCAGGTGGAAGATGATGGGCCTCAGCCAGCAGCTTGGAGCAGGAAGGATGGGGGTAGAGTTGATAGTTGGAGCACCTTGGAGGTGGTACATGCCAGTCTGGGTTCCCCCAGTATACTATGAAAGAGTCTGTTGCTCATTGGGTGGCTTTGGTTTTCTTGCTTTTGCTTTTCTTGTCTTTCTTCTTAAGGCCGTCCATGTGTGCTCTCAGGAGGTTAGAGTATGCCTGGCAAGTTGAAAAGAGATGTTTAAATGATTTGCTAAATCCTTTTTAGCATTACATAGATCTAGTCAAACAAGACAATGTGCATTCACTGCTCCAGTGATGCATTTGTTAAAAAATAAAAAAAACAATGTCAGAGTACCTACCATCTGGAACTTGATTACTTCTTTGGTGCTAACCTGGAGATAAAAGGAAAATCTTGATTAGCACTACTGTCTGCAAGGTATAGCAAATCATATGGATTTATTTCAACATCTGATCACTAAGTAGCCAGAATAGATTCCGACCCTACGCTTGCTTACAGCTGCACTGGGGCGGATAGGCTTCCTGTTTAGATTAAGACACCGCAGAGCCGGCGCGAGATATGGCTCGGAAAATGTACCTCAACCCAGGGATGAGAAATTGCGTTGCACTCAGAATTTTTACATTTTTAAGTAAACTGCTGTTTTTGTCCTCATGCTAGCTAGCAGTGGCCACAGCAGCCATTATGGAATGGCACGTCGCTTTGAACAACAAAAGGAACTGATTGGCTGAAACTGCCATTTCAAAATGGCTGTTGTGGCTTATGCTACCTAGCATGAGGACGAAAAGGGCAGTTTCCAGAAAAACGAGCAGTCATCCAATCTTCTCTGTGTATCTCGCGCAGTGTCTTAATCTAAACAGGAAGTCTGTCCAACCCCAGTGCAGCTGTAAGCAAGCATAGTCAGAATCTAGTCTGGCTAAATACTAAGTAGAGATGTATGGACTAATTTCCTGACTATTAAATACAAATATTTTATTCTAATCAACCAAACCATCATCAAATCACTTCATTGCCACATGATGCTGTAGACTTACAACTGTGCTGATTTTCTTCTTGCCATCTGACGCTCTGAGTAGACACTTGTTGTCTGCTGGTTCATAACTCTCTGGGTGGCCTTTCCTGGGGACTGGTTTGGTTCTCCCATCATCTGTATGGTTCGTGACAACAAACTACAGGTCATCAGGATTACTCACTGTAGTTGGACTGATCCTACAGCCTTAGACTCAATAACCCCGAAGCAACAACCAGCAGATAAATATATTTGTTTAAATCACCCAAAAATAAATATTAGACAATTAAAACATTCAAGCAGAGAAAAGCACCAGGGAGTGACCGCTTTCCCAAATTATTTTATATTTTGTAGCACCCCTATTTACTTAAATAACTCGCATGTCACTCAATTCAGTGCTTCCGAGTTCCATGTATCAAACAGTTATTTCAGTTATTTTCAAACCAGGAAATTCTGGAGTCCCCAACAGATTACAGACCCGTATATTTAATAAATTGCGACAATAAAATAATAAAACTCATAGGCAACAGAATGGCAAAAGTATTACCAGACTTGATACATATTAATCAAACAGCATTTATTAAAAATAGACACTTAAAACAAATACAATAAAAATGTTCAGTATAATACAATACGCAAAAAAACAAGATTTATCAATAATGGCTGTTGATGCCAAAAAGTATTTTGATCGTATTCAGTGGCCTTTTCTATTTAAAATGTTGGAAGCATTCAACTACCCAGGTAAAATAATACATTTAATATAAATATCTTAAAGCAAAAATACAGTGCATACCCCATAATGACAAAGCAAAAACAGGTTTAGAATTTTTTGCGAATGTATTCAACAAAAAAAAACTGAAATACCTTATTTACATAAGTATTCAGACCCTTTGTATGAGACTCGTAATTGAGCTCAGGTGCATCCTGTTTCCATTGATCATCCTTGAGATGTTTCTACCACATGATTGGAGTCCACCTGTGCTAAATTCAATTGATTGAATAGGATTTGGAAAGGCACACACCTGTCTATATAAGGTCCCACAGTTGACAGTGCATGTCAGAGCAAAAACCAAGCCATGAGGTCGAAGAACTTGTCTGTAGAGCTCCGAGACCAGATTGTGTTGAGACACAGATCTGGGAAAGGGTACCAAAAAATGTCTGCAGCATTGAAAGTCCCCAAGAACATAGTGGCCTCCTTCATTCTTAAATGGAAGAAGTTTGGAACCACCAAGCCCCTTCCTAGAGCTGGCCGCCCGGCCAAACTGAGCAATCGGCGGAGAAGGGCCTTGGTCAGGGAGGTGACCAAGAACCCGATTGTCACTCTGACAGAGCTCCTCTGTGGAGATGGGAGAACCTTCCAGAAGGACAACCATCTCTGCAGCACTCCACCAATCAGGCCTTTATGGTATAGTGGCCAGACGGAAGCCACCCCTCAGTAAAAGGCACATGACAGCCAGCTTGGAGTTTGCCAAAAGCCACCTAAAAGACTGACAATGAAAAACAAGATTCTCTGGTCTGATGAAACCAAGATTGACTGGAGCAAAGCTTCACCTTCCAACAGGACAACGACCCTAACCACACAGCCAAGACAATGCAGGAGTGGCTTCAGGACAAGTCTCTGAATGTCCTTGAGTGGCCCAGCCAGAGCTTGGACTTGAACCCGATCGACCATCTCTGGAGATACCTGGAAATTGCTGTGCAGCGACGCTCCCCATCCAACCTGACAGAGCTTGAGAGGATCTGCAGAGAAGAATGGGAGAAACCCCCCAAATACAGGTGTGCCAAGCTTGTAGCGTCATATACCCAAGAAGACTTGAGGCTGTAATCACTGCCAAAGGTGCTTTAACAAAGTACTGAGTAAAGGGTCTGAATACTTATGTAAATGTGATATTTCATTTTTGTATGTTTAATAAATTTGCTAAAATGTCTAAAAACAGTTTTTGCTTTGTCATTATTGAGTATTGTGTGTAGATTGATGAGGGGATTTTTTTTTTTTTTTAATCCATTTTAGAATAAGGCTGTAACATAACAAAGTGTGGAAAAAGCCAAGGGGTCTGAATAATTTCCGAATGCACTGTACCTGACTAATATTGAAAACTCAATGCCCCCCTTATTACAGATATTTCCGGAACACTTGAGAATCTCACGATATAAAATGAATGTGGATAAACTGAAATAATGGCAATAGGGAAAATAATAACTCATGATCTACAGCAGGAGTCTCCAACCTTTTCTAGCATGAGAGCTACTGTAAAGAAATGAAAAGTCACAAGCTACTAGCTTTCAAATAGGCACATTGTTCTTTTCTCTTCTGCAACTCTTCCCCAGGTCCTTAGTGCACTACTTTCTCTTGTACACTATGTTCTGTCAATATACCTGGTAAAATAATGGTTACTAAACAACTAAGGGGGGCCCTATAAAATGTTATTTTCCCACCAAATTATGCTTTATATTTTCACAAATTATGTTCCGTTTTATTTTTCCTGGTTTTAGATTTGAGTTTCACTCTTAAAATTATAATTGTTCATAGAGAAAAAACGAAATAGGATGTTTTGAGTCCATGTCAATGCCTAAATCACATTTAGATTTGAGATCACAACAAATGTAGAGTTGAGTGTAATTCCCCTTTAATTGTGCATCTAGCGAGTGAGGAATGTGTGGTCTGTGCCGGTCCAGCGAGTGAGGAATGTGTGGTCTGTGCCGGTCCAGCGAGTGAGGAATGTGTGGTCTGTGCCGGTCCAGCGAGTGAGGAATGTGTGGT